GGACATCGACCCCTCCCTCCGCAATTGGATATTGGACTTCCTGACAAACAGACCGCCTGTTAAGATCAACGACCACACCCACGACTGCAAAGCCATACATGGCTCAAACACCATTGTTAAGTTTGCAGACGACACAACGGTGGTTGGTCTCATCAGCGGCAACAATGAGTCAGCGTACAGAGACGAGGTCCAGCGCCAAGCTGTGTGGTGCGCCGACAACCACCTGTCCCTCAACACCATGAAGACCAAAGAGACCATCGTGGACTTCAGAAAGTCTAAAGGTGGCACACACACACCCCTCCATATCGACGGAGCGGAGGTTGAACGTGTCACCAGCTTTAAGTTTCTGGGAGTCCACATCTCCGAGGATCTCACCTGGTCCCTCAACACCTCTTCCGCGATCAAGAAGGCTCTCCAGCGCCTCTTCTTCCTGAGGAGACTAAAAAAGGCCCACCTGTCCCCACAGATCCTGACAAACTTTTACTGCAGCACCATCGAGAGCATACTTACTAACTGTGTCACTGTATGGTATGGCAACTGCTCCGTCTCTGACCAGAAGGCACTGCAGAAGGTGGTGAAAACTGCAGAACGCATCATTGGTTCCCCACTCCCTTCCATCGAGTCTGTCCATAAAAAGCGGTGCCTACGCAAGGCGCGCTGCATTGCTAAGGACAATTCCCATCCCAACCATAGACTGTTTAACTACCTCCCCTCCGGAAAGCGCTACAGGTCTCTTGGCACCAGGACCAGTAGGTTCAGAAGAAGTTTTTTCCCTCAGGCTGTCACCCTACTGAACTCCATACCCAAGTGTACTTTGCCCCACCCCCCTCCTCCTCCTCAACCACCCCCTGTGGATACTGCAATACTCCTAAATTCTTGACTGTACATTTGTACTTGACTTTACATTGATCACTGCACTTCCTATACTACTTGACTGTATATATAATATCCTATTCCACTTGATATTTATTAGCATATTGTTTATAATGTCCATACTGTAAATATTGTTCATATTGTAACTATCTTATATCCACCAATGCTGCTCTATAATATACCAGTCTTATCTGTATCCTCTGCACCAGTTTACCGTATTACCTTACTACCATATTATGCCTATTCATGTTTGTATTGCACCTTGTTGCTCTTTTGCACTTTTTTGGTTAGAACGGCAAAAACATTTTGTTGACTCTGTACTTATACTCTGCACAATGACAATAAAGTTGAATCTAATCTAATCTAATCTAATAAAGATGATGAGGAACGTTGGACACTTTATCAAGAGGACACACTCTGAATTTGTGAGATGAGTTTCACAGTTTCAAACAAAGCTTCCTCCCTGAACGGAGCGAAAAAGAACGACTCAAAGACAACAACAAAACTTACATCGTCGTCATGGTAATGGCTCCAGAGCGTCTCCACACATGTGGATGAAGTGTTAAGCCGCTGACAGCCCAGGACTGATTTAACACCTGGTTATATTAATAATAATCATGTCAAAGTTATATTTACAGAGCTTTTATTTTGAAGGCACACAGAGTTGGATTTGTTTTCCTGATCTCTAACTGTGCGTGGCTGTTAGCGCCCCCTGTTGGTGAGTAAGACTCTTTTTACAATGAGGCTGATTTACAAAGAAAGACACAATAGTTCCTCCAAAGACTGAATAATGGATAATTTAAATACAAACAGCAGAGACGCACTGAGACACAGTTTACTCATTTAACCCTTTGTGTGCTTTGTGAATCAGATGGCATCTCATTAAACATTTCCCCAATAAGTTTATGTTGTCATTCTCTACCTTCTCTACAGATGGACTAACACTTAGGTCGCGCCCCATGTATGGTGGCTGTAGTCCTCCAAGCAGGTGGCCTGGGTTCAAGTCTGATCTGTGGCTCCTTTCCTGCATGTCATTCCCCACTCTGTGTCTCGCCCCTAGTTTCCTACTTGACCCACTGTCCTGTCGAATAAAAGAGGCTGTGTTTCTCTTCATTATTCTATAGATTTGTGAAAGTGCACAGACGTGCTGCTGAAAGATAAACAACATGAAGCTGCTGTTCTCTCTGACGACTAACAACACAAACAACAAGCAGCTCCATAAAAACACAACATGCTCCTGCTCAGACCATATGTGTCGAGCTGTTAGACACCTCGCTCCTGCCAGCAGAGAGAGAGAGAGACAGACAGACAGAGAGACAGACAGACGAAGAGACAGGGAGAGAGAGAGAGACGTCATGTAGCTGGAGATTGGGACATTTTGTTCTGATGTTAGAGGCCGAACGGATGGAGCAGGTGGTCACATCACACTGATATAACACAAACACTGAGAGGTGAGAGACACAGCAGTAGAGATTTGGCTTCATCATCTCGACCGCCTGAAGATTTCAAACACAAACACACCTTGTTATTATAAATCAAACTAATCTGTGCAACAACAAACACTAGAAGAGATCAAAAGACCAAAGTCTGCCACTAGGGGGCGTGAATCTCTCCTCTTGACACTTCATCAAGAGGACACACGTGAGATGAGTTTCACAGTTTCGTACAAAGCTTCCTCCCTGAATGGAGCAAGAAACGACCAAAGACAACAACAAAAGTCACACTGTCGTCATGGTAATGGCTCCAGAACATCTCTACACATGTTGGAAGAAGTGTGGAGCCACTGACAGCCCAGGACTGATTTAACCCCTGGTTATATTAATCATAGTCATATCAAAGTTATATTAACAGACTTTATTTACAGAGCTTTCATTTTAAAGGCACACAGAGGTGGAAGCGTTTTCCTGATCTCTGGAAAGTTTGAGTGTCACATCTCTAATAAATACTGCGACGCAGTTACCGCCAACTCTCAACAGACGCTCGTTTCTTCGCTCTGACTGTGGCTATTAGTGCCCTCTGTTGGTGAGTAACAGTCTTTTTACAATGAGGCTGATTTACTGCGATAAATTAGCTGATCACTTGATATGCTAATATCGGCTGATATTATCGGCTGGCAGATTAATCGAAAATCTCTCGATTACAGTTTTTCACAATTGCTTAAACACTAAACCCCGTTCTCTGAACCAAATTCTTAATGGTCTAAACTCATTTTTCAATGAGTCAACTATTGTACACCATGCAGTGTTTCCCCTAGGTTTACAGCCTTGGGGGACATGCCGACACAAACACTTAAAGGAATCTTGGTGTTCATGTGTTACTTTTTATGACAGCTGTCCTTCTCTATCGGAAAGGTATCCTTAAATGACTTCTTTCCTTGATTTCCGACACTATCCACTATCCCATCTTTAAAATAAAAGGCACAAAAAGCCCCAAAAATAATCTTTAAAAAAAAAGAAAAAGATACAGGGTAAGACAATATCGATCTAGTTTATGTTGCATTACAATAATGTTATAGAGCTGCCAGGTCACCTTTTTCTCATCTCACTGATGATGACTCACTGTCTGTCCCTCTTAACCCTGCTCCTCCTCTCTCTCTTTTATTGTATTTAAGGAGCATTTTTATTTTATTATATTACTATTTAAATTCACGAACAGATTGTTTATTCTATGTGTTTTCACTGTTAATAAAATACATATCGAGTATATCAAGATATGAGTTTTGGTCCATATCGCCCAGCCCTATGTCATTGCAGCACATACAGCAGTTTCAATGTGATGCTTGTTATTAAGGGAGTATGAGGGACAAAAAATTACTGAATAAATAAATATATGAATCAATAAACAAATTAAACATTTTGATAATGAAAAAGGCTAATTTTGTATATTTATTTTTATTTATTCACTTTTCTCAGTATTTCTACATTTGTATATTTGTATATGAAAACAGAAATAAATAAAAGTGGAATTGTATGAATACGGAAATAAATAAACACATGTAAAATACATAATTGAATGATTCAAAAAATGAAATTACTAAGAAAGAGCCTTTTTGTATGTAAAATGTAACAGATCTCCACCACAGACTGTAAATATCTCTGCTAGTCTCCAGCTAGTTTAAAAAATCATTACAGTCGCCACTTCCGGAGTTTAATTTGAGAGATTTACTCGAAACTAAACACAATCGGGACGAAAAGTGATCACCGATCCGCTGCGAGCAGGGTTCGAACCTGCGCGGGGAGACCCCATTGGATTTCAAGTCCAACGCCTTAACCACTCGGCCATCGCAGCTTACGTCACTAACCCTTAATACTGTATATATTGTTGTAAACGACAAAGTTAACAGTGTAGACCCACTACGGCGTCTTCAAACTTCCATATCACTACCGCCCCCTGCTGCCGCTGCGTGCCAACGCTTAAGGGTTGTTTAATACTTACACACTCCTCCTGATAGTGAAGACGTCATAAAAAGTTGATAGTTGTACAAACGTTGCCAATGTGAGGAGGTCTGGGTGATAATAAACGTCTCACACTAATCATCCCATGGAAGTTATCCCGATTGCTTTGCCCGCCTTGCCCGCCGAATGACGTCGACGTTCTTTTTTTCTGTATAACTTTATTAAAATGTGTTTGTTGTGAAGACTATGAGTAAATACAAAAAGGAAATGACAAACAGAAATCGATTATAAATACTAAATAATACACGGTCAGTTCGTATAAAAGGTAAGAAAAAAAAGATCTAACTAAAATAAAATTATACAAGAGGATTTTGTGTGTGTGTGTGTGTGTGTGTGTGTGTGTGTGTGTGTGTGTGCGGGGGTATAAGGGTATAACATTAAATCGAGGATACGATGATATGTTTAATTCCTAAAAAGTATAATAATTGTGCACACAAGATAGTATATATTATATTTTTTGGGGACTTCCAAGGCTCCGTATTATTCAGGTTTTTTGGAGCTAAAAGTGACGTCAGTTTGCTGAAGCATTTTTCCAAAAATCCCTTGAGATTATGAGTCCGATGTGTGATTGCGAGGAATAAAAATGAGTATAAATGTATTGTTCTACTTGTGTGAAGTTGTGTTTTATTTTTATCTAACCCTTTAAACAGGAAGTGGGTGCGGTAGTCAAACCAGTCAAACCTGCATACTTTCACTTCTGTCTTTGTTCCACTCGTCCTCCTGACACGTTGGCGCTCAGCATCATGGACAGGTATGTTACCATTTTTTTATTGATAACGCTTCATATTTAAATAGAAATAAGAGAAACACTGAGCTGGTTTAACACTGACCTTAATGTGATGAGATAAACATTACATCACAGACTGAAACTCAATGAGGCCTTCAGCTTAGATTTACCTGACAAAATCTGACGTAAAACAAAAGCTTAACAGGTGTGTCCTGTTCTTTGAAGCCAGATGCTATAAGTATAATGTAGTGTCATGTATCTCTATGAATATTTTCACTGTAACAAAGTGCTTGACGACAACAAACCAGGGAAGGCTACTCAAGAAAAGGTGAACGCCATCACCATTCAAAACTCAAGACAAATAGGTAACTGAATATTGGTGGAAGAGGTTTTCAGATTTTCAACAGCAAAGGTTTAAAATGCTTCATCACAAAAAGGAGTCCTGCATTCAAAAGTAAAAGTGAAAGTAGAGGGGTGTAATGTGGGACACAGTTTCAGTTTGTCAAATATAGCCAAACTTCATTTAGATCAGGGCTGGAGTGGGCTCGCCTTGTTGGCAGTGAGGTGGAATGGGCAGAAGAAGATCCTGCAGACAAAAAAAACAGGCGTCAGAAGCAGTGACAGGCAGGCAACAAAAAGTCGTAAAGGTTGTAGAAGTAGTGTCATTAGCCCGCTTAGTGTCTAATTAATGTGCGTTCTTATTCATAACTCCTTCGTGTGGAGGGGGTTTGGAGGTGTGTCTCTGGGGGAGAGCGGAGGCTTCAGTATGGAGGAGGTGTGGCCTAACAGCAATTTGCTTTGGCTTCATGCTCCTCTTCATCATGTACATGCTGCCCCTTGGTCACATCATCCGCCACCTTGGACTCCAATTTCACTGCTTTGCCGACGACATCCAGCTCCACATCGCCACCAAAGCCATCACTACTGCCACTCACTCAATCCTCACTGACTGCATCACAGAAATAAAATCCTGGCTTCAAACCAACTTTCTCAAACTCAACTGCGACAAATCAGAAGTCATCATTATCGGCCCCAAATCCTTTATCAAATCCACCAACAACTTCTCCCTCACCTTCGATGGCTCCGCAGTGCTCCCTTCCCCCCCACATCCGTAACCTTGGTGTCATCTTCGACCAAACCCTTTCATTCGACAAACACATCAAACAAATCACCAAAACAGTCTTTTTCCACCTCAGAAACATTGCCCGCCCCTCACCCACGCATTCATCACCTCCAGACTAGACTACAGCAACAGTCTCCTCTATGGTTCACCATCCAAATCACTCAAGAAACTTCAATACATTCAGAACTCCGCTGCTCAACTTCCAACACACTCCAGCACCCGAGATCACATCACCCCCGTTCTTCATGACCTCCACTGTCTCCCCATCCCCCAGCGTATCCATTTCAAACTCCTCATCCTCACCTACAAAGCCCTCCACAACCTGGCTCCCCCTACCTGTCTGAGCTCCTCCACCAGCACACTCCCACTCGCACTCTCAGGTCTGCAGATGCAAACCTCCTGTCCCCCCCCCTGCAGGACCAACCTTCGGTCCTGCAGGGGGGGGGACAGGGCCTTCTCCATTGCCGCTCCCAACTTCTGGAACACTCTCCCTAAAAACATCAGAGACTCCCCCACACCCACTTCCTTCAAGAAATCCCTAAAAACTCACCTTTTCATCACTGCCTACAACCACTGACTCTCATCCTCTTCCTTCGACACTACTTCTATGTTGTATTGATTTATTATTATTTAGGGGTGTGAACGTTACAAAAAATTGTAAACGGTTACACGACATAAGTTTTTTCGTGTACACAGTTAACCGTTTTTTTTAAAGAAAAGTGGATCGCAATCGCGCTATACAACCAATGGAGGGTGCGGCCGCTTTTCAAAAAGATTCATCCGCATCACTGCAGCCACTCAAAGTTGTCAGACAGATACAACTGTGCTTTATAAAGTAGGCTATATAAGTAACACAGAAAACTTGCCATAGAAGTTATACGAGCAGGGTCTGTGAATGGCTCAGTGCGCATGTGTGTGTGGGGGGGGAGCGAATGAGGAGAGAGAGCGAGAGAACTCGTCGAGTGTGTGTGTTCGGCAGGTGTGTGCGACAGGTGATGCCGGGGACCGGAGCAGAATAAGCGAGAGAAATCAGAGTCATGATGTTTAGTGTACAGTTCAAGCTCTGCGAGCGTAATAAACGGCCCGGTACCTCAAAATAACAAGCCGGACTCTCCGTGTCTGTTTACACCTTGCTGCACCCCAGTGAAGTGACGGGGTTAGCCCCCAAGTTGAGGACTACAACTTCGGCCCTGGAGCAGATAAATAAGTCTCCCCTGTCCGCCCTGACCACGGTCGGAACGCGAAGCAGGAAGGTTAACACTCCGCTTAGTAATATGCTTAAATTCAGCGGCTTGTCTCGGCTGATCTGAGGTCGTAGTCGACCGGTTACCGTCGCTGCGAAAGGGCGGCATGGAAAGCCAGAACCCGCACAGGCACGTCCAAACAATGAACGGAACCAGAGTCAATCCCCAGGAGTGCGGCTCCTCCACGCCGCACTTCGCTGAGTAGTCTTGGCTGCCATCGCAAGTCAAAAGTGAAACTTAGGCTACTTGTTACATGACGTAATGCCCGGTGGTCAGTTATCACGTGCATTTGTGAGCGCAGTAACATTGTCAAAGTGGAACATTTGTAGCTTTATTCATCTCTAAAACAACAGTAGGCCTATGTGTCATTTTTGATCAGAGATGATTGAATGCTTGTCTCTAAAACATTTTAAAATAATAAAAAATTTAAAAAACGGTTTTCGTTTACTGATTTTTCCTAAACGGTTATGATTTACTAACCGGTTACACGACACCCCTATTATTATTATTATTATTATTATTATTATGGTCTCTTCAAACTGGTGGCCAGAAAACTAGAAAAGAAAAATATACAATCTCAAGACCATTTCCCATTCATGTTGTTCCATCAGGATCGACCAACAGAGACCGGACTCTCCTGGTCCGAGCGGTCTGTCCATGAAGAGTGACTTCTCCATGGGTCATCCTATCTCTTTCAAAGGTGGACGCCATTCTCCTGAAGAAAAGTAAGAGTTCAATGATGGTCAAACATCTTTGCTTTCTATGTTTGTCTGTTTTCTACACAAATCAGTTTTACGTTTTTGTTAGCTGAGATATTTTCATGAGGCTCGAAGATATACTGCAGAAAAAAGAGAAAGGTCTTCACACTGTTCAAATTTACTTTAAACAGGGCAATGTGTCGATCCAAAACTTCTTCCTCAAGGAAATACCTATATATAACCGCCTATATATACTACAGACTGCCATCAAACGCAGTCTGCAGTATTTGTACTTCATACTGCGTTCAACATAGTCTGTAGTCTGACCTCAAGTCTGTGCAGTTCACCAGACCAGTCTGAGCTGGTTTCTGGTCTTGGTGTGAGGAAGTTGGTCTGATTGTGAATATTTCCTCTGTTAAGATTGGACGTCACTGTCTGTCATTTCAACCTCTGACCTGGCGCTTTGCATTGTGGGAAACAGATTGGTCTGATGCAGACCACAGATTTCTCCTGAATCTTTACGACCATCAGTGTTTTCCCTAGGTTTACAGCTTTGGGGTGGTGGGGGGGTGCGGGCAGACGGATGCCGACACAAACACTTGAAGGAATCTTGGTGTTCATGCATTACTTTTAATGACAGCTGTCCTTTTCTATCGGAAAGGTATCCTTAAATGACTTATTTTCCTGACTTCCGACTCTATCCACTATCCCATCTCTACAATAAATGCACAAAAAGCCCAAAAAATAAATCTAAATGTATTTTTATTTTTTACACGTAGCCTTGATAGATAGACAAATATTCTCATTATAGTGTCGTATAGAGGACACTGTTACTTCATACAACACTTCCGCGTCTTTCTTTTTACGTCACGTCTTACCTCAGGAGACCCCGCCCCCCCTTCCTGTCTGACAGGGATAGTCTCCCGCTGTGAGGTGCATGTGTGAACAACTAGGTCAGGAGGATTTCAGGGGCAGTCCTCCTGAAATGATCTCGATATTTTCAGGAGTGCAGATGTGAAAATAGCTTTTGTGAACTTCTTTTAAAGCAGGAATTAAATCCTTTGATATTTCAAAAAAGCCAAACTGATTTTTAGACATTTTACTTTGACCTTTATTCAGTCTGGGCATTTCAGTTTTCAGACAGGGCTCAATTCAGAGTCCTACTGATGAAGAGGTTATGAAAAGTCATACTTACTCATGATGTTCCATCAGGATCGACCAACAGAGACCGGACTCTCCTGGTCCGAGCGGTCTGTCCATGAAGAGTGACTTCTCCATGGGTCATCCTATCTCTTTCAAAGGTGGACGCCATTCTCCTGAAGAAAAGTAAGAGTTCAATGATCTGGTCCTGTTTTTGTGCAGACTCACACCAGGGCTATAGTCAAGACCACACTAACCGAGACCAGAGTGCTCTGAGACCGAGACAAGTCCAAGACATTTAGGGATCAAGACTGAGATAGGACCAGGACCATAAATATCCCTGAAAAATCTTGTGTTTAGGGGGCGTGTCACTCACTTTGACCGTAACACCGGGAAGGTTGCGGCCGTAACCGGGGATAAAAATCAAACTACAAATGAATTGAAGTTATTTTTTCTTTTAGAAAGAGGCGTTTTCCTCTGATCACAGTAATGACTGTTACAGTGAGTGGTGGGCTTGATCGGCCTTGATTTAAAATCTGGAGTCCGCCCAGTCTGAGACCGAGACAAGACCGAGTACAAATGACATTCTTGCAGTTTTTGCCTTTAGTGGTGTGAGAATATTTTTCACTCTGCTCTCTCTTCTAGTATTTACTGATTTGTATTTTCTCCATAGAGTGGATCAAGAGGAAACAGAGATTCCTACCCGTCATTCTGCTCAGCATCAAACACACCTGGACTCCATATTCACGGTGTGTTTGTATTTTATAACGTTAAAGGTAGAGTCAGCAGCTTCTTCCTTAAAGTAAAATACAGACTTCTCCTAAAGTGAAGCTGCTCCATCGTCCCTTCTGGGCCTCCGTACATGTGTGGTGGTGACTGTGTCTGCAGAGACTCTGTCCTCTGATTGGATTTTACTGTTCTGGTTTGTTCTGGTTGACTCGGGACGTTTCTGGGCGGAGCTGGTGTGTTTCCTCTAGCCAGTGACGCAGCAGGTGAGCAGGAGTGGATACAATTCAGAGATTGGACACTATTCAAACCGGTGAATATGACGGACGTGGACGTAGCAGCAAAGAAGAGAAAATAGGAGGGGCCCAGTTTGAAAGTTGTGTTTACAACGAAAAAAGCTACTGACTACTAACTTTAAGGACAAGATTTATTTCTAACCGATGTAAGGATTTCAAATTGTGTTTAATAACTTTAGTAATGATGATTTATTATGTGCTGTTTTCTTTTCAGGTTCTGGAGGAGAACATAGTCAGTTTTGTGAAGAATGAGCTAAAGAAGTTTAAGGTTATCCTAAAAGCAGATTACCCAGAATGCTTGGGCAGGCGGAGCGAAGAAGAGGAGGTGTTGAGTGGTGAGGATGCAGAGCTGATGAAGATCAGTAGAGAAGCTTTCCTGAAGATCACACAACACTTCCTGAAGAGGATGAAGGAGGATGAGCTGGCTGACTGTCTGCAGAGCAGTAAGAGGATTTTAATTGGATGGAAAAGAGATTTTAACATCTGCTCATGGTTATGACATGCTAAATGACCTCTATATATAAAGAAAATCTAACATTAAACAAGATTGTTTTATTATAATGTTGAGCCCGACCGATTAATCGGCCAGCCGATAATATCGGCTGATATTAGCATATCCTCTCACAATCGGTATCGGCTGATTTTTATCACAGATATGGGCCAATATTTCCAGATTTATTCATCAAAAAAAGCATTTGATCTGAGTTTCACTATATTACACTAGCAGTTCTCTGTCACCAGCAGAGAGCGCTATATGGATTACAACAAACACCATCACTATCCAGAGTGTTGAGCGGTGATGCACATACATGCTCAGTTACTCTCAAGTTGAGTGACCATGCTGGCAGCACTCACTCTTGTTGCACTGCTTATCATCTCATGCATTATTCATGTGAAAACCAAAGTTCGTCAATGAAAGTCACTGAAGGAAAATTAACAGGAATTATCAGTCTGGGAGTGAGAAAAAAAAGTGTCGGGACACTGGCAGACATATTGGTGGTTGGAGGGGCCCCCAATTATTTTTTTCTTAGGTCCCAAAAAGACTCAACCTATGACCCATAAACTAAAGAACTGTAAAAATAAAAGAACTGGTGTTTGACTCCTGGCGCTACACCTTCAGTACTCTCCACTTAGTGGTGTTTTTCTTTTTCTTTTTGTAGAAACTCTGGCATTTTGTCAGGCCAAACTCAAATCCAATCTACAGATGAGGTTCCAGTATGTGTTTGAGGGGATTGCTAAAACAGGAAACCGGACCCTTCTCAACCAGATCTACACAGAGCTCTACATCACAGAGGGAGGGACTGGAGAGGTCAACGATGAACATGAGGTCAGACAGATTGAAAAAGCATCCAGGAAACCAGGCGGACCAGAAACAACCATCAGACAAGAAGACATCTTTAAACCCTCACCTGGAAGAGATGAACCAATCAGAACAGTGATGACAAAGGGAGTGGCTGGCATCGGGAAAACAGTCTTAACACAGAAGTTCACTCTGGACTGGGCTGAAGGCAAAGCCAACCAGGACATACAGTTCACATTTCCATTCACTTTCAGAGAGCTGAATGTACTGAAAGAGAAAAAGTTCAGCTTAGTGGAACTTGTTCATCACTTCTTTCCTGAAACAAAAGAAGCAGGAATCTTCAGGTTCGAAGAGTTCCAGGTTGTGTTCATCTTTGATGGTCTGGATGAGTGTCGACTTCCTCTGGACTTTAAAAACAACAAGACCCTGGCTGATATCACAGAGTCCACCTCAGTGGATGTGCTGCTGACAAACCTCATCAGGGGGAAACTGCTTCCCCCTGCTTGCCTCTGGATAACCACACGACCTGCAGCAGCCAATCAGATCCCTCCTGAGTGTGTTGACATGGTGACAGAGGTCAGAGGGTTCACTGACCCTCAGAAGGACGAGTACTTCAGGAAGAGATTCAGAGATGAGAAGCAGGCCAACACAATCATCTCCCACATCAAGACATCCAGAAGTCTCCACATCATGTGCCACATCCCAGTCTTCTGCTGGATCACTGCTACAGTTCTGGAGGATGTGCTGAAGACCGGAGAGGGAGGAGAGCTGCCCAAGACCCTGACTGAAATGTACATCCACTTCCTGGTGGTTCAGTCCAAACTGAAGAATGTCAAGTATGATAGTGGAGCTGCGACCGATCAACACTGGAATAAAAATAATAGGAAGATGATAGTCTCTCTGGGAAAACTGGCATTTGAGCAGCTGCAGAAAGGAAACCTGATCTTCTATGAATCCGACCTGAGAGAGTGTGGCATCAATATCAGGGCAGCCTCAGTGTACTCAGGAGTGTTCACACAGATCTTTAAAGAGGAGAGAGGACTGTACCAGGACAAGGTCTTCTGCTTCATCCATCTGAGCGTTCAGGAGTTTCTGGCTGCTCTTTATGTCCATCTGATGTTCTTCAATTCTGGGATCAATCTCCTGGCAGAAGGTCTATCAACCTACCAGGTGTCTCCAGCAACAGCAAATTCTGTAGTGAAGTACTTCTACCACAGTGCTGTGGACCAGGCCTTGCAGAGTCCAAATGGACACCTGGACCTGTTCCTTCGCTTTTTTGTTGGCCTTTCCTTGCAAGCCAATCAGGATCTCCTACGAGGCCTGCTCCTTCAGACAGGATGTTTCTCATCGACCAATAGGCAAACAGTACATTACATCAAGACCAAAATCAGAGACATTCCCTGTCAAGAGAGTAGCATCAATCTGTTCCACTGTCTAAATGAGCTGAACGACCATTCTCTAGAAGAAGAAATCCAAAGGTGCCTGAGTTCAGGGTGTCTTCACACAGACAAACTGTCTCCTGCTCAGTGGTCAGCCCTGGTCTTCATTCTACTGTCATCAGAAAAACATCTGGACGTGTTCGACCTGAAGAAATTCTGTGCTTCAGAGAAGGCCCTTCTGAGGATGCTGCCAGTGGTCAAAGCCTCCAAAATATCTCTGTAGGTGTACAGTAAGTGAGACTGATGGATTGGTTTCAATTCAATACAGATACAAGTATTGTTTTCTATTTATTTCCTTAGATTGAGTGGCTGTAAGCTATCTGAGAGAAGCTGGGAAGCTCTGGCCACAGTTCTTAGCGCCCAATCAACCAGTTTGCGAGAGCTGGACCTTAGTAACAACAACCTACAGGATTCAGGTTTGATGATGTTGTCTCCTGGACTGGAGAGTCCGCACTGTAGGCTGGAGACTCTAAGGTAAGAATAAGTCATGACATGATTTTCTCTGTCAGAAAAAGTGAAACCATAAGGCTCAGTCCTCTTGCATGAAAGAGCCAGACCTGAGTGTGAAGAACTTGTAGGATGCAGGAAGTCGATTCTAGCATTGATGAATGAAGAGCGAGAGAGTAATAGACAGCTTGGACGTAAACTGTAGCTAGCTAATTCTGCCTGTGTGTGCATCTGGTGCTTAATAAACATTGCAGCCTTAACTGGACTCGATTGGGTTTTAAGCATTCAATGCCTGATCTAGAAATAATTTTTGCTCATGTAATTAGGTTATGCCAAACCGGCCTCACTGAGAACTGCTGCCAGAGGTTAGCTTGTGTTCTGAGTTTGGAGTTTTCTACTCTGAGAGAGCTGGACCTGAGTAACAACAACCTGCACGATTCAGGATTCATTCTGCTCTGTGCTGGACTGCAAACCCCTCACTGTAAACTGGCAAATCTACGGTAAGTTCGTGAACACAGTCACAGCTACTTTATCATTCAGTAAAATAGTCAATGCTTTCATTGTACTAACTGTTCGGATTACATTGTGGGCCTACGTCTTGAGCTTCTGTCTTTCAATCTTATTTAACTACTTATGTAGTTATATACAATGTTTTTCTCTTTATTGATCCAGGCTCAGCATCTGTGATCTGTCGGGGAGAAGCTGTGAGGCTCTAGCCCCAGTTCTTCGCTCTAGTCTGAAAGAGCTGGACCTGAGTCACAACAACCTGCAGGATTCAGGAGTGGAGCCACTCTTTGCTGGTCTGGAGAGTCCACACTGTCAACTGGAGACTCTCAGGTAGCTTCATCTCAAGTAGATTGTGGCAGTCCAATCACAAGCTGCAACTTTTTGTTTGAAATGGTCTAGTACAGTGGTTCTCAAACTATGGTGGTACGCAGGCTCCCTGTGGTGGTATGCAAAGAAATCGCCACAATATAAAAAAAAAAAAACCTGTTCAGCATAAAACGATTTTTTTTATTTTTGACATACTCTTATCTTATCTGTCTTGTATCTATTGAGTTGTATTTATATCAAATGTGTTTTCCCCTTTAAATTAATATAGTTTTTGCAACAAACAACTTTAATCTGCTCAGTTTATGCTCGCGCACAGACATAAACAACACCAGGAGTACACCTCACGTTTTGAAAAGTTCCACTCGATATTCCGTTATAGTTCAGTCCTGAAACAACAGCAAGCAGCTGTAGGCCTACATCAACAGATATTGTGTTATTTATTGGAGTTCAGCACAATCGGCAGCAAGCAGCTGTACATAATGGAACCAGGAGAAGCTTCAGTTTTTGATGCATGTACGGACAGTCGCTCACCCTCTCTCTCTCTCTCTCTCTCTCTCTCTCTCTCTCTTGCTCTGAAGCTGATGTGATTCAGCTCTATTTTGCTGTCTTAACACTAGGACCACCAACATTCTAGACCCCCCTCCAAGCGCCGCAGACGTCTTTCAGACGGCATATGCAAATGAAATTGTTTGTGCTCAGAAGCACACAAATAATGCATTTTTTTGATCTACAAACCAGATAGGCTATCAGCATAAGGTAGGATTGGTAACCTTTTAAATGTTGCATGTCAATTTACAATATTTGTCAGCTTTTTTAGTGCGCTGTTTTTTACTGCTGCTCCACGTCTCCCGTTGCTAAAAGACATTCTACAAAAATGAAACATACATAACTTTTAGTCTATTATATTGTTGGATATATTAGGCTATGCATTTTAATGAAAACAATGCAAAAAAAATAAATAAACACCAATGTTTCTCCTCCTCTCTGCAACTGGGTTTGTTTCCCAGACATAGAGGAAATCATTGACCAACACACACACGCACGCCAAAAACAACAACAACAACAAAACACGGCTATCTATGGGCATCACAAACTATATAGCCTACAAAAAGAACTGCAGAAATCCATAACAGATGCAGCGGTGAACAAACAAACAGATGAACAAATGAACGATCAGCACCTTGGACAGCACCGCGGCACGTAAGGCACTTACCTGCAGCAAAAGTGCTCAACCTTTGCGATGCACTTCCCACTCACAGGGTGCACTTCCCACACACAGGGTGCTTGCACCCCTTGCAGGAGACAATGGTCATATTTTTCTTGCAGTGCGTGTTTGTCTGACACTGACTCCTTCTCAGCCTCTTGTGGATGCTGTGGCTCAGTGGGCACCGACGTCAGACTGGCCATGACACGCAGGTGTTCCTCTCTCTGTTCCTTTGCCGGCTCAAGAATGAGCATGTATCTATCTGTCTATGGTCTCTATCTATCTATTTATATATCCTATCTATCTGTCGCTCTTTGTTAAATTCCTGCGCATATATATGAAGTCTATAAATAGAAACAATAACTAATAAAAATTAAAACGACGCGCGAAAACAATCCTGGGAAATGTATCATTTTCAACTGCCGTCAATAAGACGGCGGCGGCGGTTAGAGGTATAAATGCTCAGAAATCTTGTGTGTTTTATTTTAGTTACACATAGGCTTCAGAAAACATACAGGGCACATATTTAAGACAAGTCATTGGATGAGAGGCTCGTAGTTTTTATTTATAAAGAGTTATTTGTTTTATAAAAACCCAAACCGTCCGTCAGACGGTCTTGGCGGTTCTAGTGTTAACACTCCTCAGGAGTCGAGAGGGATAATTTGCTAAGGCAGTTTTGCTATGTTGAACGCAGAGACTTATAACACAGCGGCTCTGGTTGCAGGGAGCCTGCGGAGCGCGCGCCTGCACTCTCTCGCGTGCTCTCTCTCTCCCCAGCTCCCCCTCGCTCTTTCTCTCGTGCGCGCACGCAGCAATTTTATGAATAAATGAAAAATTAAATGAGAACAGGTCGGAAATATACTTGGGCCCAGGTATCGTCTATTAGTGGGAAACACTGGAGATTAAATATTCTCAAACAGGTTGTTGGTATAAAGTTGTCATTTTTATTGTGCTGCACTTTTTTTTTGATTTGGGCAAATGTCAGAGTTGTGTTAGTTTAAGTGCCAGTTCTAGCGCTAGCCCTTAGTAGTCCTATAGTGTGGCTGCCAACAGTCAATAATAAATAACCTCCTGCGTAAAATGTGTGTAGAAATAGGCCTACAGTGTATTTTAACATCTACCATAATGGTGGTACTTGGAGAGCCAAATATTTTCGGAGGTGGTACGCAGTCTAAAAAGTTTGAGAACCACTGGTCTAGTAGTTCCATCTTCACTTTGAGTCTTTCAATGCTTGATCCAAAAGGAAACTTAACTTGGTTGAAGCCCTTGAACATGTTTCCACTCTCCTCTGAAAAGCTTCTTCAGGTCTCAATAGACGGGTGGACGGACTAGAAATATGAGCCTCCGTAATGTTGGCAATAGGAATAGTTGCGTTTTGTTTGTGGGGACCATTAGGGGCCATGTGGTAGGATTGGTAGTATCATCGTTGACACCACCTGGAACTTGAATGCACAAAGCCTGGGTCTGTTGAAGGTGGTGACGCTGTTCAGGCTGTGATGGCCATGTGGTTAAGGAGGTAAGATATAGAAGTTCTGTGAATGGATATGGTGGGCGGAGAGAGTTAGCATTGAGGGGGGTGGCTGTGGGACGCCGGAGCTTACTCTCCAGTCTTCCTGATGAGTCATGGGACTAATCGGATAAAACGCCAGTGAAGGGAGGTTCCTGCTTAACAAATCCAGTGATGTCCTGGCTCTGGCTGCCCTTCGGTCTACACAGTTGAGTTGTGGGAGCTAAAAGGTCTGTTAAAGGTTGGAATGCTGTCTTGGTTGTGGTGGCAACTAAGGGCCTTAAGGTAGGTTATGTAACTTATCCATAGAGCATAAGGGCATAGTTGGGATGAGAAGGGTCTTCACAGAGCGCTTACTCCCTCATTAGGGCACAAGTATCTTCTGTGGATTTCAAATTTGTGGATCTATTGCTATCTATTGATATTGCTAATGATCATAGTGGTCCAATGGGAGTTGTTAACTGAGCTGTTGACCTTGTCTCACCTGGTGACACTCTCAGTCATTTGTGAGGGTCACATCGTCCAGTGTGAGACTGGGGTTCTCACTGTTAGGGAAGGGAATTCATAACAACAGTGTTTGTTGGGGATAAGTGGTGGGGTGGTTTCTTCAAGTTTATAGCTCAACACCAAAACCGTTCAATTCTTTTTTCTATTAGGTTGAGTCAAACCAGCCTTACTGAGAAAAGCTGTCAGAAGCTTTCATCCATTCTCTGCTCCCACTTCTCTTCTCTGAGAGAACTCGACCTGAGTAATAACGACCTACAGGACTCAGGAGTGATGCTGCTGTCCACTGGACTGGGGAGCGCGAACTGTAGGCTGGAAGTTCTCAGGTCAGGACTCATCAAACATTTTTCATATAACCACACAGATGAACTGACTTTATGCTCTATAATCTGTGTTTCTTCACAGGATGTCAGGTTGTCTGATCACAGAAAAAGGCTGTGCTTCTCTGGCCTCAGCTCTTAGCTCCAACCCCTCCCATCTGAGAGAGCTGGATCTGACCTACAATCATCCAGGAGAGTCAGGAGTGAAGCGGCTTTCCGCTGGACTAGAGGGTCCACTCTGGAGACTGGACACACTCAGGTCGGTCTGACCTGCTGCAAGACGGAGGCAGTGTTTAATTGATCAGTGACGAATTGTACTGAAATCATAACAAGTCGAATTTGTCAAAGTGGGACTAACACTCCTGTGGTTGAGGATCAATTTGCTGGTCTCTGCCATGTATCAGACCCAAACTGGACTTTGAGTCCATAATAAAATAGATTCTCTTCTGATGCTTGTATAGGGGAACAAGGCCACAAATAAATGGACTAATGGAGCTGTAATCATAGCTAAACATAACTGTGCATGTGACCGTACTGACTCTCTTTCATTCCCCTGCAGGGTGGACCATGATGGAATCCAGAGATTAATGCCAGGTCTAAAGAAGTGTAAGCTTGATTTTTGTTTGATGCATTTACACAAACATGCTCAGAATTAAAGACGTCCATCTCATGTATTTCCAAATCACTAATTTTAAGAATGCAGACCGCTGGTATTAAAAAAATACTTTTCGAAATTTAACCATATTTTCCATCTTTTTTTTTGCCTCTACCAAGCGCAAGTGACAGACAAAATTTCCCTTCGCTCGAGCTGCAATCACCAGTGTCCTGCATTATTGTGTTAGCAGGCTAATGTTAGCGCTCTTTAGTTAGCTCGTAGCTTCACATTGCATGTAAACGGACACAGAATGACTGTTATCTAAAAAGGCTTACTTTTTTGTAGACAGTCATGACTCAGATATTTACACAGGATAGACTTGATTTCTGATATATATATGTGTTACATGTCGTAAATTCTTCCTTTAAACCCAAGACAAAGATTTTTCCATAACCCACTTATCATCCTAAACTTCATTCAAATTTATTCTTGAATGTAAACACCCTCTAACTTTAATGCCAAGTGAGCTGCTGACTTAAAGGTTCTTCAGGTTATGCAAGCTGTTCAGTAGAATTAATTAGAGCTTTAAAAAGTCTCTCCTACAAACTTCTTGCAAATAATGAGGCAATTCCTCTTTTGCATCTCCTCTTTAGATGCATGTGATTTGTTGCTGGACCCGAACACAGCACACACAAAGCTCCAGCTGTCCAAAGACCACAGAGAAGTGACCATTGTGTCCAACAAGCACGGGTATGCAGAGCGTCCAGAGAGATTTGATTGCTGGATTCAGCTGCTGTGTAAAAACGCTCTGACTGGTCGTTGTTACTGGGAGGTGGAGAGGAAAGGAGCTGTGTATGTTGGTTTGACGTACAAAGGAATAAGAAGGAGAGGGCAAGGAGTCGACTGCAAACTGGGAGGGACCGATCAGTCGTGGAGTCTTTACTGCTCGGATGAAAACTTCTTTGCCTGGCACAACGACCAGAGAACAGCAGTAAGCTCCGTCCCTTCCTCCTCCTCGAATAGAGTGGCAGTGTATGTGGACGGTCCTGCAGGCACTCTGTCCTTCTACAGCGTCTCCTCAGACACACTCTTCCACCTGCACACCTTCTCCTGCGTAATCACTGAGCCTCTCTACCCAGGCTTTAGATTTGTGTTCGGGTACTTTGGTTCCTCCGTCTCTCTGATGCAGTTGGAGGAAAATTAATCACAGACAAACGCTCACACCAGGGACACACAGGAGAAAGAGGCACTAAGTTTTTTCTTGTGCAATCAGTAGCTGTAGGGCTGTTCACACTAAGGGCACACTTACACTAGCAAATTTGTCCCGTACCGTGCTTAAGCATGATTGTCCCCATTTCCCCCGCTGGCCTGCACTCACACTGCTCCAGGACTATCCAGGCCTGAGCACGGTTACTTCTTGTACATAACGTTGTAACACTACACATGCATGGCTGTACGTAATTATGAAGTGTGCTTAGGTTACAAGACAGGCGAACTTGGAAAAAAAAAAAAAGGTGCTGTCGGGTCCATGTCCGCACATCAGAGAACAACACAGAGAACATGAGAGCTACTTTACTGACTTTGTGTCATTGACTTATTTTGAGTCATGTTAGTCGATACAGACAGAACACTCTGGGATTTCTCCATAATAAAGGCTGTCCACATTGTGTACCTGTGCTTGTTCTCGTGCTTGAACTGTACTGTGCTGAAGCACACCTTCCAAGCGTGCCAGGGCCGAGGTAGTGTACCAAGATTGAGGACGGATCGAGCACTCACACTAGAAGAAAAACATTTTTTTTACCTTTATTTTACCAGGCAGAATTGCTTGAGATCAAATGACCTCTTTTTCGAGCAAGGCCTGGCCAAAAGGTTTGTGAGCCCTCAGGGGCCCCCCTACTGGTCTGAGGCCCCAGGCTCTTGCCTGCCTTGCCTGTTGACAAGCAGCACCTCTGGAGCATGAAGAGCAGGAGAGAGGAGCCAGGGTGCAGGACCAGAATCCAGAGGCCCTGTTTCAGACAGCAGGATCTCAGTAGATATACCATAAACTGTTTTCAGAGACTTTGCCTAGTCATGTTGTCTTTTGTTTCTAAAGACACCAAAAAAAGAAGACAAACATTTCTTTATAATATATTTATTAATTCTATAAAGATAAATTCATCATCCGCATATTTGATGATAAAAACCCCACTTTATTTTTTCTCCTTAAATATCAAGAGTGAACAGTTTTAATGAGTAAAGGCGTGTAAAGTAAAGTAAAGTAAGGCGTTAAATATGTTTGTGTAATGTAGAATGAAGCATTCAGACCCCTGTTTAATGGCCCTCTTTGTATTAAGTTTTGTAAGTAAAAACGATAAATCAACGTGTTTAAAACGTTTATATTTACTACAACATGATTAGTGGAACATATAAATAGTGATGTAGCGCAAAGTCGTGGCACTGTGTGGGGATGTAGCTCAGTGGTAGAGCGCATGCTTCGCATGTATGAGGCCCCGGGTTCAATCCCCGGCATCTCCACTTTTTAGCTCAAAGATATCCATCTTCACTTTCTGAACTGCGATCCAATTAATGTATTTTACTGTCAATGAAAACATTAGTTCTTGATTCTTTTTTAGTTTTGATTACGTTGTTATGATATAAAAATGGTAAAAACCTCTCAATGTTATTATTTCAAACAGCTGAGCTTAGCGTCCAGATAGCAGCCAAAAATATGGATATATATATATATATTTTTTTTTTTTAAAGAGTAAAAAATGTGTTTGATAAACGTGTTGGTAGCATTGTGTTCTCTTGAAGCTTTTAATTTGAAAGTTAGACATGTAAACCGGACATGTATCACCGGATTACTTCAGTGTATTGCCATTTGCAGTATAAAACCACATTGGAAAACATGTGTAAGAGGTAAACGGTACAGCTGGACAAAGACACAGGACAGTAAATTACAAAAAAAACAGTCAAAATAAATAAAAGCAGAGACAGTAAGGCCATATAAGAAACATACCTGTAAATGTCTAATTTTGTCTCGTTGTAAAGCCGTAACGCGGAGATGTTTTTAGTGTGGGGAGGGAATAGTTTCAAATGGTTAATGGATATATAAAAAGTAATGGTTCCACTGGGGCTCGAACCCAGGACCTTCTGCGTGTAAAGCAGACGTGATAACCGCTACACTATGGAACCAAGTGGCACAAATGGTCGAGCGTCATGCAAATATTGTTTTCTCTAAAGCCTTTCAGATAGGACGGAGCTGTTTCTACTTTTTCTGCATTTTTTGGGTCCTCCTCAGTATACTTAACATTTCGGCATGGATACTAACTTCCGGGTTTTATGCAGTATGGATCGGATGCATCCAGGGGCCGTTTCCGAATAGCCACAGTTCAGTAGACAGTACGTACTATTCAGTAGGGAGTTTCAGTGTACTGAACTTTCGTGGTCATTCAGTATGCATTTTTTGGGTCAGCATTAATTTAATCTTAATTTAAAGTCCCGACTGAAATCGTTACTTTTATGCCTACTGAACTGTGACAATTTGGAAAGGGCCCCATTGTGTGTTTATGAGATCTTCAGGGCACGTCAGGATGCGGGAGAGTTTAGGCTCGTCCAGGAGCTGCAGCTCTATAACGAGCGCTTCACGAACACGAAACACATTTATGCTGCTGTTTCAAACTTCAAACACACCTGGTAGGCCCAAACTCTCGGACATTTCTTTTTAAACTAGATATTTCTCTCCGATGTCCCGGTAGGTCTGTATGGTGGAAAACGGGGCACACCAGGTAGACCGGTTCAGTTTGGTCGGTACATTACACATTTATTGGCATTTCCACTGTCAGAAGTCGGGAATGGTTCTGATCCGTACCCAGGCGCGGAGCCTATGGGTCATTGCAGAGGGGGCGGGGACCAATAGTGGGCCCTTAAACTGTCTATAGGCTATATAGCATATGCTGTAGCCTATATAGTAATATAGTATTGCATTTATGGAATAGTATCGGCTGTATGGAGATACAAGACGGGGCGGGACGAAGAGAAATACCGCTGCAGATTACAAAGGGTGCTATTACAGTGACAGGGACTTATCAGTGAGTGACCTGCTGATGTTTAAGCAGAACAAGTGCTGATATGTCTGTGCACATATTCCACCGATTAAACAAGTAAAGCAGACTTAATTAGCCGGACAGGAAACCAAAGATAGAAGGCAACTACAGTTTGACATTCAGTGAAGTTGGACGCTCATCCAGCCACACAGCCAAACAGACAATACAATAAAACCACACATTATCAACCCACACACCACAACAAACTTTGTAAACAGTGTGACAGCAATGGCCTGCCGTTCATACAGTACGATAACCAAGCATTCACGGCGGTCTACAACACATGCACCCACAAACTAAAGACCAGCATCTAAGCGTAATCACAAATAATGATGAAACAACTTACCAATTAAGTTTTCATCAGCACTGTTGCTTTCCTGCACGGAGCTAGCTGGGTGCTCCTCTCTAACATGTTTATTTGCTTGGCTAGTAGCGTTTACGGTAGCTTAGCTTAGTATGATACTTTTGTTTCAAATGTAAGATGCAAAAGATTAGCTGTAATAGTGTCCAATCAGCTACCTCCGATGTTGAAATATGAAGACGATGATGAAGTGTAAAATCCTGCAGTTCCTCAAGTGTCCACTAGAGGCTGGCTGCAGAAGCACAGGAAGTCACATACACACCCATTCAAAAAAGCCTGTTTTAACAGCAGAGATGAACATGTTTACAGCCTGGTTCAAAAAACCAAATAGGTCTGATTAGCTCATGTCTCGATCGGCACACACTGTACAGGGGGTGAATGTTTTGATGACTCATCAGTTTTGATTTGATGAAGGATAAGAGTTATTCACAATAAGGCGTGACCTGATTGACAGGCGGGCACGGTGTAACGGTTTGTCAGGAGGTTTAAAACCTGCCTCAGCTCCAGCTCTCAGCCTGTCGTTAGGTTGACTGAAAGTTAGACTGAGACAGCATTTCCAGCATGGAGACCGCCATCGATGGGACTCCAGCGCCCCCTGTAGTAAAAGATGAGTGCCGTCACTCAGGCTTCAAACATTCATATTAACAGTCTGTCGTCCGGTCTTGATACCTGTTCAGGTTGAGCCAATAAGAGCTAGAGGTGTTATTGTGGGCGTGGCTTACAAAGAAGCAGAGGTGCACTGTACCTGCAGCTGTCATTCAGCACACCACCATCCCAGAGAGGAGACGAGGAGGAGTCAGTCTGCAGGTAAGCTCACCTGTCTGCTTTTACTCTCTCCTGTGTTGTATTTTCAGGACTGTAGAAAGATGCTTACCTGTAAAACATTCTTCATATCATCATTTCACATTTCAGAGCCTCAAATTCACAGAAAACGTTACAGATGTTTAACTTTATTAACGCTGTTTACTTCACACTTTGAGTGATTTTAGAGTTATACTAAAGTTTCAGTCAGACACGATAAATGCTCGACTCAATGCCGGGAGATTATTTATAGTTTGTATTTTAACAAACTTCATGGCCTGAAAACAGTCCAATGAAAGAAACTCATACTTCAAACTCATAAATGTCACAAATAACCAAACCAGATTTTCAAAGTTTGATTTGATTCCAGTTAAACAACATCACAAATTTTGATGATGTTCTGTTACCATGGCAGCAACAATAGACATCGTAGAACCCCACTTTTGGGTCGTTTCTAGTTTCTTAATAACAAAAAAATGCAAGGAGGAACTCGGCACTCTCACTTGTATTGTGTTTTTATGCTCTAAAGGGCAATACACGTTTTATTTCATCTTGAGGTGTCGCCTTGTTTTACAATTTTTTATCTCAAAATTTGACCAAAAGCTGCGTCTTTAAGGCTATTCGATGTTTGAATAAACCGTTTTCTCTGCAGTCTGTTTATCACAGATCAGGAGGCGGGGATGAAACATGACCTTTAATATGATACCTGGCTACAGTGTTGTTTATTCTGATTACTGCAGGGTGACAAAGCATCATGTGAACCGACACCCACGCTAACCAAGGCTAACAGCTGCTCATTTCCCAGTCAAATATCAGGGAGATAAACAAACAAGCTCTCATCAGATTCCACAGAGGAGGAAGAACAAAAAATAAATGATCAATGTTCAGTTGAACCTCGGAAAAATTAATGGGGGAGAAAGTTTTACATCACAGAAGAAGTCAGCAATGCAACCATATTCTTTAAAAAAAGACATTTTCAAGACATTATACGACATCTAAAGAGCAAACAGTGAAAATTCAAGCACAGATGGAAACTAACAAACAGACAAACACAAACATAACAGCTGATGACATAAATCTTTGACACATTCCTGGAAGAGGAAGAGGAATATTATTAGTGTATAAATGGCAACCAGGTATTTAAATATTTATTTAAATATTTAAATTCATGCACATACATCTAGACTCATATTTCATTCATAAGCACACTTAAAGGTCACATATTCTGTAAAATCCACTTCATCATGTATCGTTAACACTAATATGTGTCCCTCGTCTGTCTGCAAACACCCCAATGATGAGAAAAGTCCATTCTCTGCATCTTTTTCCTGCTCCACTTTTCAGAAAATGTGTGCTCAAACAGGCTGCAGGGTCTCCTTAAACACAAGTATCTAGTTGGCTGTGAAGATTTTTAAAATCAGGATCATTAGATGACTGTGTGCGCGTGTCTCTCTGCTGAACGCTTCTGATTGGTTGATTGATGTCATATCTGTTTATAGTCTCTCTTTTGTTCTCTGTGTGAACATTTGATGCTGCCTTCTCAGCCAGGACTCTCCTCATGAAGAAAACATTTTCCTGTTAAAATAAATAAAATAATTCATATTTTTATTTTTATTAATGATAAAGGATCTTTTTTGCTCACCAGCTGGGTCACCATCATGTCGACTTCCTGTCACGAGTTTGAGGTGACGGTCCACACCTCGCCAGGTCCTACCTCTGGAACCTTCAGCCGCCTGTGGCTAAACCTGATTGGCTCACACGGAGAGACTCCGCCCCTCAGTGTGAGCGAGGGCGGCTGCCTTCTCCTGCCGGGATCAGTAAGTTTTATCACTCTTTAAAAAAAAGCAGCAGTGTGCCACTCCCTCCAGGTCTTCAGAATTAAACATGTCAGACGCTCAAACAAACCCAACCCCATGTGCCCACTTTCTTCTGATTGTTCAGCTCTCTGGAGGGCTTCTCTCGCTCTCTCTCTCTTTCTCTCTCTCTCTCTCTCTTTCTCTCTCTCTCTCCCTGATTTCTGACTCTATCCACTGTCCTTTGCAATCAGTCAAAATAACAATGATTTTTTTAAGACCTTACAACTAAAATAATTCTTAATCCTTACTCTCTTCATCAATTCAATCAATCAATCAATCAATAACTGAAGGCTTTACCTCCCCTAGTACATTTAGAGACTGTAGGTACCACAAGCAGGCCTGCATTCTGGGACCGTAATGTTCTCGAAGGGTTGTACAGCACTAGTAGCTTCTAAAGATAAGATGGTGCCTGTCCATTTAGAGCTTTGTAAGTGAGAATAAGGATCTTGAATTCTATTCTAGATTGTATAGGGAGCCAGTGCAGAGAAGCCAACACAAGAGTAAAGTGGTCCCTTTTCCTAGTTCTAGTCAGTACACGAGGTGCAGCGTTCTGGACTAGTTGAAGAGTCTTTAGAGACTTACCAGAGCACCCTGACAAAAGAGAATTACAATAATCCAACCTGGAGGTAACAAATGCATGAACTAGTTTTTCTGCATCATTTTGCAACAGGATATTCCTGATCTTCTTGAAATGTGCTTGATGTGAGAGTTAAAGGACATGTCTTGGTCAAATAGAACTCCTAGATTCCTAACAGTGGTGCTAGATGCCAGGCTGATGTCATTAAGGACAGTCAAATCACTAGAAAAAGTCTCTCTGAGGTTTTTAGGGCCTAGCACAATAACTTCAGTCTTGTCTGAGTTAAGTAGGACCTGGTCATCCAGGTCCTAACATCCTTAAGGCAGGTTTCTAGCTTACATAACTGATTAGTGCCATCGGGCTTCATTGATACATAAAGCTGAGTATCATCTGCATAACAATGAAACTGTATGGAGTGTTTCCTCATAATATTTCCCAGAGGAAGCATATATAATGTAAAGAGAATTGGTCCAAGCACTGAACCTTGTGGCACTCCATGGCTAACTTTGGTGTGCATAGAGTACTTATCATTAAAATGTACAAACTGAGATCGGTCTGATAAGTAGGATTCAAACCAACTTAAAGCAGTCCCTGTAATTTCAAGTAAATGTTCTAGTCTGTGTAATAGGATTTGATGGTCAATATTGTCAAAAGCAGCACTAAGATCTAACAAGACGAGCACAGAAAGAAGTCCCCTGTCTGAAGCTAGAAGTAGATCGTTTGTAACTTTAACTAGTGCAGTCTCAGTGCTATGGTGGACTCTAAATCCTGACTGAAACTTCTCCTCATCCTGTCCTTACAGGTGTGTCCGGTTCAGGTCCGAGTCAGCGCTCCTCTGGGTTGCCTGCTTCTGGTTCGGCTTCGACTGGAGGCTCGGACTGGATTCCCCGACCTAGACTGGCACTGCAGCCGGGTGGAGGTCCGCAGCCTGGCTGTGGAGGACCAGCGAGGCGGGAGAGGGGCGTGTCCTGGGGATCCAGACATACAGGTGTTCCTGTGTGACCGATGGCTTCGAACAGCAGATGGCGACATAGAGCTGCGGAGCGGAAAGTGTAAATTCAAAGTTTAAAGATCTTATGTGTTCCTGTCATAGTCTGCATAAAACTGATAGGCAGCAAGAGCCGGGACATCACCGGGGTTGTCAAGTGGGAACCTCCCAGCTCTTGCGTCCCAGAGTCCACTTCCTCCATGCTAGCTCTGGCCGCCCACCAAACCCTCATTCAGAACTTCCATATCTTACCTACTTAACCACATGGCCATCACAGCCTGAACAGCGTCACCATCTCAACAGATCTAGTCTCTGTTCAAGAAAGCTCCAGGTAGTGTCAACGCTGATACCACCAACCCTACCATATGGCCGCTAATGGCCCCCACAAACAAAACACAACTATTCCTGCTGCTAGCACTTACCCCAGCCAAATTGGGCTTTTGTTATACCCACTCCTTCTCTCAGAAGACAGAACAGAGACAAACAAAGGAGATAATATGGTTCTCTCCTTCCTTCAGTTCGCCCAGGGGTGAGACAATGGGGGTTCTGTCGAGGTAGCCTCTGTTAGCCTGGTGCTAACGCTAGCTGCAGAGCTAACTGAGTTCCCTTATGTTAGGGGGTGTGTTTTCGATGATTAGATTGCATCATTTCTCGATTTGCTGCACATTTTTTCCTGAAGCCAGCTGTTTTGTGTTTGCTGAGTGTTTTCCTTTGTCAGCCACTGTACTATCCACCGTGCATGGAGAAGTTATTCTAGTTATCGTTGCTGTTACTCCTCCGCAGTGTGTCTGCTGATGGACGAGACGGAGGAGAAAGTGAAGCAGCAGCGAATCAGACAGCTGGAACATCACCAGAAGCTCATCCGGTAAAACAACAAACACACATTTACACACGATTCCCTTAAATTCAGTCTTTATGACAACGCTAGGCCGCAGTACCTGCCTTTCACCTCTAGTTGTCAGCGATTATATTGGATTGAATCGTCTTTACACTGCTGAGATACCTGGTCTCTTCTTGTGTTGTTTACTGCAGATGGCGTGAGTTTGTCGAAGGCGCTCCACATTGTGTGGATCTGAACAGTCTGTCTGAACTCGGACCGAACCTCCGCTACACTTTCAAGAGGTGAAGTCAGATCTAAACGCACAAACTGTCAGACGTCTGGTCACATCGAGAGGTAAACATTCAGTCTTTGTTTGTGTCGTTGTCCTCAGTCCAGCTGCTAACCTGTACTATCTGAGAGGCTTCGCTGGCCAGGCCGAGTCCTGGACCAGTTTCAGCGAGCTGGAGACGGTTTTCTCCTTCATTGGACACCAGAACAACACGGCCAGTAAGAAACCGACAACACTTGTTCAAATGGATTATTTTTTATAATCAGTGACTGGAGAATATTCTCATAGTAGGAAACCTGTTCAACCATCGACTGTATATTATTATGGACGACGTGTGTCTCCACCTCCTACCATTGTATAAAATGAAGCCAAAATACGCACTGACATGTCGCGCTGTTGACGTGATTTGGAGCTCAGACATTGGCAGAGGGGAACTGGCTAGTAAAACCAGAGACTTGAAGCCACGCCCCTTTCTCTAACCAAATCAAACATTAAAGTTACGAATAAAAGGTCAAAGGTCGCTCACTTGGGTTCAGTCCACAGCAGAAAAGATTCTTGTGTCTGTTTGAAGCAGAAACTCACAGTGATGGAAAGTTAAGCGACTCTTGTGTTTGTGTTCTTTACGTTTCCTCTCGTCGTTCCTCCTCTACTCTGATAATCCAGAGCTCACAGCAACGCAGGAACCTCATTGGTCAAAACAGCTGTCACTCATGATGTTACATGTGCTCTTGTTTACGTCAAATAATGAATTTAGAAAAAGCTGATCAGAAATTAATAGGTTGACATAAATCAGAATAAGAACTAACTATCATCCCTGAAGAAGTTTTTAAAAGTTCTGGTTACTTTTTAATCATTAAAATGATTATATCACTTTAAACCCTGTGGTATAAAAAGTAACCGTCCTTTGGTCTCTGTCAGAGTTCGTTCAGGCTCACTGGGAGGAGGATTGGTATTTTGGTTATCAGTGTCTTAATGGCTGTAACCCTCTGCTGCTGCGTCAGACCAGCATCCTTCCTCCAAACCTGTCAGTCACCCCAGACATGCTCCGCCCCTTCCTGCCTGATTGCTCCTCCCTCGAGCAGGAGCTCCAGGTGTGTGTTCTCTTCTCTGACTCCTACCTGTTGTTTGGTGCTGACTCTTACACAGCTGTTTTAACTGCGTCCTCTGGTGTGACAGACAGGTAACATTTACCTGCTGGACTATGAGGTTTTAGACAACGTCCCGGCCAACGTGATCAACGGGAAGCAGACGTACCTGTCGGCTCCACTGTGCCTCCTCCACCTGAACCAGCGGGGACAGCTGGTCCCCATCGCCATCCAGGTGAGCTCCAGGGGTCTCATTCATCAACATCAACATCTTTGAAAGATTTTTGTTCAATTTTAAAATTATAATATATTTAATCAATGTCTTACTAACCTCCTCCTTCAGTTGCAACAGACGCCCGGCCCTCACAACCCGCTCTTCCTGCCCTCTGACCCTGGCTGTGATTGGCTGCTGGCTAAGATCTTTGTCCGCAGCGCAGACTTCCAGTGTCACCAGATAGCCTCCCACTACCTGAGGACTCACATGCTGGGAGAGCTGTGCTGTGTGTCCACGCTGAGGCAGCTCCCCGAGACACACCCACTGCACCAGGTATGCAAACACACTCAAATGTTAAACCTTAAAGGTCCCATATTATGCTTTTTCTGGTTTAGTGTGCCCTTTAGTGTGTTTTCCAAGTGTCCTGTGCATGTTTAGGCACATCTATGTGCAAAAATTCAAAGTCTGTGGAAACGCGGCTTCTCCTACGTCCTCCTGTTAGCTGTAACATTAGCCACATGTAACACTCGGTTCTAGCTCCCCTCGATAAAAATTTGTCAGTCCGACGTCATTGTCAGTGTGAGATCACTGATCTAAGCCCATTGGCTCGTTGTGGCAAGCCCTGCAGCTCATGTTGAAATTTCTGAGAAGCGTGCTGAGCAACTGACCAATGACGACAGAGTGGATCGGAAGACCAATCAGAGCAGACTTGGCCCACGTGGGGTCTAACAGTGTGGGCTCAACAGAGCGTAGCTGACGGACTCAGAGCAGAGAGGGAGCAAGGAGGAGCAGTACATGAAAACAGACACTTTTTTCAAACTTTAGCTATTGTGAACGTACAAAGGTAGGTACATAAATTAAATATACGAACCCCAAAAAGGGCAGAATATGAGCTCTTTAAAGATCCAATCAGTGAGATGTGTAGTGAGTGAAATGATAAAGTGACCTTACTATATGATCAGACATTAAGGAAACATGCTATGTTGAAGTGCTGGCTTCTCTGACAACAATGCAGCAGCCAGTATGTCCTCCTTCTAACTTTAGATTCTGGTCCTGAATGCTCTGGATTTGTTTGGACCAGAGAAGGTAGGTGGTTTCACCCCCACACAGCCGTTTTGGATGCCCCTCAGTTTGCTAGATATGAGAGCAGTTATCAGGTCAACAGGTGTTGCAGTGATGGAAGCGGGTAAGAGAAGTGGTTCAGATAGAAGTGATTGTACCCGACCTAAAAAGCCTCTGCATGTTTCTAATAAGCTCCACGAGCAGAAACGTGCTCAAACTAGGATCAGTATTGGACGTAGTGGCTTGATCTTGCCTATCAAAAGTTTCAGCCACTGAGGGGCTGATAGCCTACCGTACTTAATTGACGCGTTGTTTCCGTGTTCGTGGCAATAATTCAATCAACTCCGTGCTGTCACTCAACCGGGTTTATCCGAATCGTTCATTTACAATACATATTCTGGTCGTCTACATACACTTATTCCATTATAACTTGAAAGTTACATATTGCTCCTTTACGTGTTAGTGTATTTTACATATAAGTGATCATTTGTTTTTCCCTGTTGATAAAATGTTGTTGGTGCAGCGTTGTCAGCTTTCTCTCCTCCTCTCTGATTGGCTGCTTGTGTTGACAGTTGCTGATGCCACACATCAGGACGTCACTTCAGATCAACTTCCAGGCGAGAGCGTCTCTGCTGGCTGCAGACGGCGTGTTTGATAAGGTGAACCATCAGTTGGAACTGGAATACAAAAAGAGAGAAGAGCAGCTTTCTGACATTGTTGCGATGTTTTGGTCCCTGCAGGCGATGGGTTGTGGTCTGGAGGGGTTACCAGTCCTCCTGTCCCGGGCCTCAGACAGGATTTCCTATCAATCTCTGTGCGTCCCTGATGACCTGACGGAGCGTGGCGTGGACAAACTGCCGCAGAGCTTCTACGCCCAGGATGCCCTGAGAGTTTGGGACGCACTGCACAGGTAAACAAACTCACCTCCACCACATGAGTCTCTCTCTCTCTTTTCATCCTCGATTTGGATGCTGAAATGTCATATTCAGGGGATTAACTGTGTGTGTGTGTGTGTGTGTGTGTGTGTGTGTGTGTGTGTGTGTGTGTGTGTGTGTGTGTATCAGGTTTGTGTTCAGCTGGGTCAGTGTGTATTACAGTGGAGACGATGAGGTGCAGCAGGACTCTGAGCTCCAACACTGGATCTCTGACCTCAATGCACACGGTTTCAACAATCACTCAGGTCTTTCTGTTTGTTCGTTTGTTTGTTTGTTGATATGGTTGTTTATCCTTATTTACTGTTTTAGTTCATGCAGTCTGTGTCCTCTCGTCCTCCAGGTTTCCCTCAGTGCTTCAGGACTAAAGCTGAAGTTTCTAAATTCGTCACGATGATCATGTTCTCGTGTTCGGCTCTTCATGCTGCTGTGAACTTCTCTCAGGTGAGTCGACTACAGAACACATTACTGTGAACTCCGTCTTTAAATAAAACAAAAACTTGAGAAGGTCTGAAAAATGGAGGTAAGTAGTAACATTTCATGTTGAAAGAGGTTTTTTAAATTTTATTCTTGGGCTTTTTTTATTGGAGGGATAGGTGGGTAGAGTTGGAAATGAGGGAGAGAGAGGGGAATGACATGCAGTAAAGGAGCCACATGTTGGATTCGAACCTGAGCCGCCTGCTTGGAGGATTATAACCTCCATTCATGGGGCGCGCACTGCGCCACCAGCGCCCCTGGTTTCTTCTCATTCCACTGGAATGACAAAGGGCATTTAAAAAAAAGGATTAACATTGTTGTAGCTTTTAAATTGTGTCATACTTATTTTGACAGACTTCCAGTGTTTGACAAATTAACCTACAAAGTACCAAACACTGCAGTTCCTCCAGTGTCCACTAGAGTCTGTCTCTTGCAGTGATTCAGAGCCCCACGTTAAAATGTCCAACTTTACAGCTAATCTGAATGAGAAAGCTAACGACAGAGCTCTTTGACAAGACACTTAAGGCGGACTATTTTGTTTTTTTAATAGCTAGAGGGGACATACTGGAGCGAGCCCAAATCATATTTGTATTTATGGACATTTTTTATCTTACCATCCGTAAAACTCTCTCTGTTACAGTTGGATTTCGCTCTCTGGATGCCGAACTGTCCAGCCTACATGCTGCGTCCTCCTCCACAGGTGAAAGGTGAGGTGATGGAGGATGACATCATGTCTTTCCTGCCCCATGTGAACTTGACCTGTCGAGTCCTGACGGCGCTGATGTTGCTTTCCCAACCTGCCGTGAACTTTGTAAGTCTCCAAGTCGTTTCTGTGAACAACTATCACACCTAGTGTTTAAAATGGGTACTGCAGTCTAAATTCTAAACTTCATAGAGAGCTGTCTCTTCCCGCCCCCTCCTCTCTAGAGTCGATGCTCACACAGGTTGCCATGTCTCATTTCAGTAAAGTTAGAAAGATATTCACAGATTCGGCTTTCCCGGATCAATAACTCTCTGCAATCACAGCAAGGTAATCTGCAAGCTACAACCGGATTTCACTCAAAACGAGTCGTCCTCCCCCGCGCTGGGGAACTTGCACTGGCCTCTATGCGGAGCCAGCTGTGGCTCGGTGCAGGAACCGTCTGCAAATTACAACACCGAAAAAAAAATGCTACAAAAATATATTCAATAACTTCAACCAGGAGAGGTGTAGTGTCATCAAAATCATTTTACACGTATGTGAGCTCACGTTTTTCATACAACATTTCTTAGATTGGAAAATATTTTTTGGACAGCCGATACCCTAATTTTCATGAATTTCCAATTTTATTCAATTTCCCATCATGAATTGCTGCTGTTTAAACTACAGTGCATTGCTTTTAGTGATTTTGTATCATTAAAATAAGTAAATAACTTTACAACATGTTGTAGTATCATCACACTCATAACACACATAAACCATCTCCTCTTGATTACACTACAACTCTTAGTTTGATAAAAAGTGCTTTAGGTATTACAATTTGCTTCTATATAATGTCAAGGTTTTCTTCATATAATGATCAATAAAGTCCCTATTATAGGCTGTAGGGTCACAAAAGAATCATCACATATACTTCATATCATGTTGTTTACACTACAGCACTTGGCTTGGAAATTTTTGCCTTTATTCAATTTTGATGATTCTTACCAAAAATCAACATAATATCAGTCTTATAAATTGTTCAGTAGCAGTTTTCTGTTTGAACAGTAGGGGTCTATATTAGGCAATACTTTGACACTTAGTTTGGATTATTATTATTTTTTTTGCATAATTTAAGGGAAGTTTTAATATGGATATTATTAAATAAAGTCACTATTATAGGCTCTAGGGTAACCAAAAAAATCTCATCACACGTACAGTAAATCATGGTTAATGCTTTTATATAACTTTGACCTTTATTTAGCCTTATATATCGTCGCCTTCCTAAAAATAATGGCCTATGTCATTTTTTCAAGTTTTTCAGAAAACACAAAAAACTGATCCAAATATTGAATATATGATATTAATTAAGTATTTCACTCAAAAGGTTATAACAATAGATGGCTATTGACATACTTATAACAATTTCTGTCAATTATGTAACATAAGAGTGATAAATGACTTTTGTGACTTAGGCAATTTTAAACATTCAACTCTGTCAACAAAAAAGCATAGCTAACAAGCTAACATAACTAACAAAACATACTCTAATGCTGAGGAGGGGGGATGAGCCCTGAATCAACGAAATAAATTCAGTGAAAGAGTTGTATGTTGTCGTTCTTCTTGAAGCAGCTTCTTGAAAAGCTTGTAAAATTAAGTCACACTCTTGATATAGGCCATTATACTACGGGGGAGAATCGCATGATCTGTTTAACTGAGGATGTAGGCGACTTTACCAGAGGTGGCAAGCATCATGAGGAGATGATTTATGCAAAAAAAATGAAATTTAAAGGACATTTATTCATGATGAGATTTTTTTTTTACCGTACACCTTACAAAGGGGATTTTATTGAAAATGAGGCTATTTATAGGCTATTAAAAAATCCTCAAAATGATGTAGGCTAAAAGTATTATTTTCCAATCTAAGAAATGTAGAATAAACAACGTGAGATCACATATGTGTAAAATTATTTTGATGACACTACACCTCTCCTGGGTGAAGTTATTGAATATATTTTTGTAGCATCTTTTTTCGGTGTTGTAATTTGCAGACGGTTCCTGCACCGAGCCCCAGCTGGCTCTGCGTAGAGGCCAATGCAAGTTCCCCAGCGCGGGGGAGGACGACTTTTTTTGAGTGAAATCTCGTTGTAGCTTGCAGTCTACCTTGCTGTGATTGCAGAGAGGTGTCGGTTTTGTAAAAGCAATGTACTGTGAAGGAATCTGTGAATATCTTTCTAACTTTACTGAAGTGAGACACACTCTTTTATTGTTTCGGAAACAATGTTCTATGTCCATGTGTCTCGGTAGATAGCCTACTAGCCTACTGTTTCTTCTACACAGCAACGTCCTCATTGCCTTGTAAATGACAAGCTGCGGTCTCAGAATATGAAAAAACAGGCCTTTTTTTCATTTCTGTTTTCTAGTGATTTTATTTTTTATTATATGAAATAGTAAATGGAAATAGAATCATTTTTAAAATTTCACTCATCCCTTTTTGACCATGAAAAAGAAAAACACCTCGTATTTCAATTTGAACTTAATTGACCTGAACACTTAAGTAGAGTCAAACTTCATGCCTGATTTGTCTGAACTGTTTTTCGACCTCCTGCAGGTTCCTCTGTGTCACTACAAGGACACCATCTTTAGAGACGACGCCCACTGCAGGCTGGTAGAGGCGGTACAGGCTGAACTCAAGGCCATTTCTGATGACATTACAGAGCGTAACCGGCACCTGGCGCTGCCGTATCCATACCTGGATCCTGAACACATCGAGAACAGCGTGGCCATTTGAATGATTAGTTTAGAAAGAAATGAACGTCCAGAGAGACAGAGATTTATTTCAATATTCATGTTTTGAATAAATTATTTACGTTTCTTCTTTTTAACCTCTAACTTGTTTTCTAGACTCAAACCGGATTGTTTTTTTTAAATTCTTATTTCTCCCTTGACACTTTAGGAGCCCCTGGAGCCCTAAAACCTAAAATAAAAAAATGTGTGTGCACAACATATTCATTTGTGTTATTCTGAGAGACTTTGTTTTGGAGACAAAAGCTTCTTTAAATATAAAATATAATGTGAATATATCTTTGCTTTTAATTAATTTAGATGTGTTACATGTTAAAAATCTGCACATTTTTAAAATTTTGAACTGCCGGGGATTTTATTCATGTCAGTCTGTGAAATGACCCCGCCTTTTTTGGGGACAGAGGTCGACACGAGATGGGCCTTTGATTATTTTCAAATGGAACTTGGGCACAGCAAAGATGGGAGAGATTATGAAATAGTACATTTACAACAAAAAGAATATTGGGTTGTTGGTGGCCAAGTGGTTAGGGCGCACACCTCATGTTCAGGGGCTGTAGTCCTCAAACCGGGCATCCCGGGTTGAAATCCGACCTGTGGCTCCTTCCCTGCATGTCATCCCCCCCCTCTCTGTGTCACTGAGATCAAACTCTACGGTCCTATCTCTTCAATAAAGGAACAAGAAGCTTAAATCTTAAAATGAGGATATTTTTATAAATCACTGATTTGATTTTAGCAGCGTGCAGAGCTGCTTCACGGCCTGACCACATACAAGCATCATTTTGTGTTTCTTGGACACATGTTGAAGTCAAGACCACACTACCCGAGACCAGAGGGCTCCGGGACCAGGACAAGACCAAGACCAAGAAAGGGCGAGACTGAGACAAGACCAGGACAATAACTATCACTGAAGAATCATCATCTTGTGTGACTCACTGAGACTGTGACACCGGGAGGGTTGCGGCCGTCTCTTCAACACTAGTGTGAAGCTAACCTTTGAACATCAACAGTAATAAAAGGAGTTTAAAAATATGTTTGAAGTGAAGAGAAGAAAAACCAGAGTCTTGTATCGCCTGTGTTAGGACTTTATATTACATTATATAACATTAAATATGAGAGCTGTAGATACTGACTGAGTGTAGACGATAACACTGACATAAAAACATTTCTTCTTCTGCTCTTGGGATTATTTCTGCACGTCACACGGCTCTCTGTACTTTCAAACTTTTTTCATGCAGCCAGTGGTAGCTTTCAGTCAGAAATGTCGGTGAGTTTGAGTTAATGACAGAGTTTGTTTACTTCCTGTTTGAATCGCTGCGGCGAACACTGACGTCAGGGGACAATTCCTGAATGATCAGACGGGTGATACTGATCCTGTGTGAATACAGTTTGAGTCTTTGTTTCCATTTTTGTATTCTCATTTTTGGGAAAAGAAGCCGAGGTTGAGCTCAATGTCCTATCCTCTCCTCCTCTCCTCCTTGGTTCCTCTCCTCCTGGCTTCCTCTCCTCCTTGCTTCCTCTCCTCCTTGCTTCCTCTCCTCCTAGCTGACAGGATCCACCACCAGCACTTTACACTCCCTCTTGGCGATTTTGTCCAACGACAGCAAAGACTTGTCCTGCGGCGGCAGGTAGAGCGGCCGGCCCACCGGAGAGCCGACGGGGGGAGTGATAGCCCGCCGCTCCATGGCACTGCCCGTCCTGACACACACACACACACACACACACACAAATGAAATGTTATTACAGAAATCTAAATCCAGTTATGTATAAAACTATAAATTATCCTTTGATCCGTTTACAGTAAAGTGGGATCAAAACTGTTCAAGAAGAACTTAGAGAGTTCATGTTGGTTCTCCTTCATCCAAGTCAAGGTGAACCGGAGCTTGAGCCACAGAGGCTTCTCATTCCAGCTCCGACAACAAGCTAGTTTAGAACTGAAGCAGCCTTACAGAGGAGGAGACGCCCCGCTGGCTTTTGGATCAAACTTCCATTTAAAGAGTTTCATTTAAAGACCAGATGCGTGTGTGTGTGTGTGTGTGTGTGTGTGTGTGTGTGTGTGTGTGTGTGTGTGTGTGTGTGTGTGTGTGTGTGTGTGTGTGTGTGTGTGTGTTACCTCATGATGTGTGACCGAGACGGCTGCTGATGGGAGAAGGATTGAGATCGACCCAGACTGGCCTGATGTCGGTCCAGCAGGTCTCGAACCGCCGGGCTGGACGGACTGTTTTTACCTGAACGGGGAAAATAAATGATGATCCCTATTCTGACTTTTAGACACTCGTTTATATTTGTGCCACAAGAGATCAGATTTTGGATCCTTGTGGTAGCGACTGTTGTTCTTACGTGACAGCGGCCGGGCGTCAGGCGGAGGGTTGGACACAGAGGCCGTGAACTGGAGCTTCAGCTTCATGTGCTGACTCAGCTGCAGGCGGTTGTTGAGTGGTGAGGAGATGATGAGGAATAAAACACGTTAGAGAAGATAGTAGTGAACACATTCGATGTTTTCTGTCTGTTCTTCAGAGCGCTCGTACCTCGTACAGTCCCGGTTTGAGGATCTGGAAGGCCACGCTGAACGACAGCGTGCTTCCTTTCCTGCAGTGGCCGAGGTTACTGAGAGGCGTGTGACAGACCACCGCAGACAGCGTGGTGTCCTCGCTGTGAAGGCGACCTGAACAAATAGGACATTAGTCAGGGAGGTCACAATTACCAGATTTACTTTAATACTGGAACAACCAGTGTGTGTAAAACACAGCCACACACACAAACACACAAAACACACACACACACACACACACACACACACACACACACACGCAGAGACACACATACACACACACACAGCCGTGCACACACACACACACAGAGACACACACACTCAAACACACAAACGCACACACAGCCGCACACACACACACACACACACACACACACACACACACACACACACACACACACACACACACACACACACACACACACACACACACACACACACACACACTGACCCTCTGGAGTCCAGACGAGCCGAACAGCCAGGAAGTCCTGCAGGTTGTTCAGCAGGACGTATTTGACCTTGAAGTGCTCCTTGACGCGCACCGTGCTCGGACAGCTGGCCGTCATGACGAACCGCGGCTGGTCCAGACGGACGCTGGGCAGCCTGGAAAAAAAAACAATGTGTGTGACAGATGTGTCATAAGAAACATAACCTGGTCTTGTTTCTGATGTATTTGATACAGCTTCACAGATTGTTGAGCACAGTTGCGTTCAGATCTCCCGTGGACCGTACTCGAGTACACATGAATCGTGCTCCACCTCTACAAGCGGACTCGGGTACGGTATCCAAGTACGTTACATTTGTGTTCACGCTGATCAAATTAACCGGACTATGGGGTCAACTGTACTCAAATCCGGCTTTTTAAAAGTCGACTGCTCTTCTGAAATTCATTGTAAAATAACCTTTTCCTCCTTCTTTGTGGTTTCCTGTTTCCCCTCAGGTTAAAACCCTCCTGCATGGATCTCACCTGTAGTGGGTGTAGATACAGTTGGTGAAAGGCATCTTGGGAGTCGACCACTGCAGCACAGCGACCAGAGGAACCTCCATCCCCTGAAAATAAAACGTAAAAACCAACTCACACAAACGTAACAGCTCGATTACGACCACAAGGGGGCGCTCACAGCGGTGACATACAGGGCGTCCTGACGAGTAGAGACACAAACATGTCTGTTTATACATTGGAGGGTCGTCGTGATACCAGAACATTATCATGACGCCTCGTTCATTAAACTCCAGCTGTAGTCGTTAGCTGCGTTCTTCTTCGTGGCTCCGTTTTTGGAGAACAAACACAAACACGTCTCCTCACCTCGTTGGAGTCGTCTGGCGGCATGTCGTTGAGGTGCAGCTGGAACAGGAAGTCGTGCTCCTCCAAAGCGCTGAGCATGCTGGGAAGGCGGCAGGCCAGGCTGTCCACCCTGCAGAAAGACGCCATGCCGACCTCACCGGACTGATGGCTGCAGAGCGGGAGGGAGAGCAGAAGGAGGAACGGTGAGAGGAAAGACTCATTGAACTTCACATAACCGTGAGCGTCTGCTTCAAACTGACACAGGAACCTGTTCTACTGTGGACTGGACCCACCTGAGCGACCGTTGACTTTTAGCAGGAAGTGTAATGTGTGGTAATTGTTAGAGAAAGGGGCGTGGCTTCCATACAGCGCTGCCACCAGCCCGTGGCAGTGCTGAAGAAGACGAAGATGCGTCGTCCATTTTGATATACAGTAAAAGTAAACAAACAAAACGTGAAGTAACAAAGTGTTTTCGAAAAGAAGGAAACAGAGCGTGAGGTATGAACGTACCTCACGTTGTCCACCAACAGCACGGAGCCGTCCGGCATCATGGGCAGGTAGGAGGCGTTCAGGTTTGGTAAAATTCGAATGTCCCGGATACTCACCTCCTCCTGAGACGACTCGTTCAACACTAAGAGGAGGAGGAACAGGATTTATGTTTAACAAGGTGAGAGATGTTTGGTTTATCTTCTAAATGAGACGGGGACTCAAGGACTCATGACCAGCTGATTTGAGGAAATTGGCGTTTTTCTTTTTAATGTGTGGTTCCAGTAAAGCTAGCAGCGTATCAAACTGGACCACTGACATCCTGAAATACGTCTGGGAGCAATCTGGAGAATTCTGCAGCTCCTTATCAACAAGAAAAAACTCCCCTCGCTCTTGTTTTCAGGAGTAGATGGACCCCGTATGTTACGTTTAGAGAAAGAACCACTAAATCATCTTCACTGCTTGATCACTCTGCTTGATGAGTACGAGACATTTTGTCTCAAACTGCTGATTAAAGCATTTAATAGAAAAAACAAACGCAGCGATCTTAGTGTGCAAGGTGTCTGTGCGTTATGATTTTTATCGGATCACGGATCTGAAAAAAGGAAACCGAAAGAACTGACTCAGTGTGCAAAGGCCTAAACACCCACACATTTCGATCCATCTGTTTCAGAAACGACTGCGAAAGAAAGAGTTGACATTTAGTCAAGATTTTAAAAAGTAAATTCTGCTCCATTCAGAGATCTTTAACGAGTCTGAAGCAGCTTGTGCATTAAAACCATCACACAGAAATAACTACAGTGTGGTTTATCTGAGTACTGAAGTGAACACCCTGTGGCAAAAGATTACATCAGGAACAATGTTTCACCTTTGAGCACGGCGAGGTGCTTCCCGGAGACGGTCATCTGTTTACAGCGGACGGTGGGAGGCGGCAGGACGGTCAGAGTGGTGCTCACTGTGACGGGAGGAACAAAAGGTTTGTTCAATAATCTTACAGAGCTGCACTGGATGGAACAAACTCTGCAGGAGATCAAAGAGAGATTAGTGTGAAAATGTTATATCTTAAACCTGAGCAGGTTGTTCAAAAGTGATGTAAACAGACGTGATGTACACTTGACAAAAACCTGAGCTATGACATGGATGATGTCATGAGGGTCCTCACAAGTACGACAGTGTGTGTGTGTGTGTGTGTGTGTGTGTGTGTGTGTGTGTGTGTGTGTGTGTGTGTGTGTGTGTGTGTGTGTGTGTGTGTGTGTGTGTGTGTGTGTGTGTGTACAAGGTACCCTGAGCCTTGAAGGTGTTCAGGTCGTGTCTGAAGGTGTGTGTCGGTTCTCGTTGTTGGAGGACGCTCAGGTAGCCGAGTTCCTGCACCTCGGCTTTCTCCGCCTCCTTCTTCCACACTGTGACCATCACCTGAACACACACATCCGGGATAATCAAACCAGGACAGTTGTCAGGCGTTACCACGATATCAGAACTATTAAAGTTTATATCAAAGTGATATCACATTAGGAGGAGGTGATGTTAAACTGAACTTAATCACTGCTGATATCCAGAACGACCAAAGCATACTACAGACAGACAGACAGACAGACAGACAGACAGACAGACAGACAGACAGACAGACAGACCTTGACTTTCAGGGTGCTGACGGGGAGTTTGTCCAGAGAAACAGTGAGCGGGAAGATCACCTCGTCTGTCAAAACCACAGGCTCGTCCAGAGGAGACTGACGTGGGCAAACAAACAGATCGATGAGAAACAACCAGGAGCCATTAAACTCACACATAGTCGTAATCAGTGACGCTGGCAGGATGAAATATCCATTCCAACCACTTCAGCGTGTATATGACACCTTTATTTCCTAGGTTACCCTCGAGTACATTATAACAGCGACAGAGAGCGGGGCAAGAGAGACAGAGACGGACACAGAGAGAGAGAGTGATGCAGAAACACAAACCCATTGATCAGGCGTTGGCAGAGTGTTATAGATATTTAAAATAACATCATCTGTGCAACACAGGAGGACTGACTAACCAACAATGCATCAGTGTGAGTGTAAACCGTGTCTTACCTGAACAGGTGCCCTGCGGAACTCCCTGGCCGCCGTCCCAGATGAGTTGTGGATGAGCAGCGGTTTGCAGTCCCTGAAACTCCGACACCTGGAGTCCACCCTGCTGCCGAGCGCTGCAATGGCCGCCTCTGCTGCTGCGATGTAGTCCTCCTCGCCGTCCTCGTTGGCCTCGTCCCCGCTGCTTTGGTAGTCGTGATAATGCTGGTGGTGGTTGCTTCGATGGCGGCTGCTCTCACCTGGACTCACGCTGGCCACAGCGCACAAAGAGCCTGCCAGTTCCCTCCAAGCCCGGCTACTGGCTGATTCAGTCCCAAAACCTGCAGCAGAGCCAGCAGCTCCCTCTGCTGGGAAATGACGGACACACAAATGAGATAATCTTCACTGGCTAAAGTCAGTCAATCACCACTCTCACCCTTTTTCTCTGCTTTCAGGCATGGTTTGGACCAATAAACAACCAGAGTTTAACCCTGACTCAGTTCAGTATTCCCTGATTTTAGGCTTTGGTACTGTACTTTTAAGAAGGAATGTGCGACTTTTTGATCCAGTAGATGTCGTCCTTGAGCTCCAGCATGAAACCAAAACAAACTGCTGTTAGGCCACACCTCCTCCATGCTGAGGCCTCAGCTCTCCTCCAGAGACACACCTCTCCCCTCGTGTTTCCATGAAGGAGTCTAGTGCAAGCGATGTGTCCTTGTCTAGTGCTGCATTGTTGTGTTAGCATCATGTCCAAACGAAGGATAAAACACCGAGTTCTTTATTGTTGATCTTACCCAGAAGTTTTAGCCCTGATTTGGTGCCATTTTTTCCAGGCAACATTACTCTGGTTTGGCCCAAACTAGTACCTGCTCAGTTTAAAAGCTGTCTTGGCCATGGATCGGTCCTTTATTTAGAGGGTTTCTTTCCTTTGACCCGCTTGGAGAAGATTTAGCCCTTGTTGGGTGCAATAAGCTCTCTGATGTAACTCTGGTTAAGTCCAAACGAGGGCTAAAACATGGAGTTATTGCCCACTTTTTAAACCATTTAAACCCTCGTTTGGTTGTGTTTTAAGAGGGGTTCTTTCCTCGATCTCGCCTCGCCCTGTTTTAAGCTCTCATTCAGTATAATATCCTCGAGTGATTGAGCCATGGTTTGGTCCAGTTGAGTGCTGAAACATCTAGCTGTTAAAGAAAATGTTTAGCACTGGTTTGGTCATACATTAAAAGGGGGTTCTTTCCCTGTTCTTTCCCTCCAGAGTGTAACCCCACCTCTCGCCCAATGACAGCTGGGATCAACCCCCCCCCCCTCCCCCTTATTTCTCATGTAAAGGAGGGAATATTCTGTTAATAGACTCTGATCTGGTGAATACATTATTAAGCATGCACATGTAGCTACATTGCTGCCTGTTAGTAATTATATAATGAATGACATTGAATTCCTTACACTTTACTGCAAAAACTGCCATCTTATAAAGTGTATTTGTCTTATTTCTGGTCATAAATATCTGAAACTAGAGCAACAAAATGTATCTTAGGTTTTGTCAAATTACATCTTTATCCTAATTCAAGTTGTACATTTTAATTTTAGCTATTTCTTAACACATTAAAGTAATTCAGGCCTTATTCCTTTGGTCGTAATATCTTGAATGTGGCTCATATTAAGATATTTATGACTAGAACTGTTACTAACATTTGAGTTCTTGCAGTGTTTGCTTTTAGAAATAGGTTTTAAAGGACACATTTAAGCGTATAAAAAGGCGTTTAAAGTCTCCTTTGATTAAAACAAACACATTCATTTCTAACATCGACACAGAATAAAGGATTATTTCCCCTTTTTCTCTCCCCCAGCCTTCTCCTTACCGGGGCCGGGCTCGGTTGGCGTCGCCCCTCCGTCCCTGCACCGCAGCACAAGCAGGAACCGGACCGTCTCCCCCAGGTAGAGGTGACTCCGGCGGGGCAGGGTCCGGTACCGGGCCGGGTCGGACAGATCCGTGATGGGCACCGCCGGGAAGTACATGAAATACTCACACTGCGACTCCATCATCTGCACCATGGCGACGACCGGAGGAGGCTGCAGCGAGGAGGAGCAGGACCACAGTCAACACAAACGCACGAGAACAATAAAACACGCACTTCCTGTTATTACTTTCAAAATAAAAGCAGTTACTCACACAGACGGGGTGAAATTCGACTACTACGCCCCGTAGTGGCCATCCATCATACTGCAGTAGAGAAATGGCAGAATAACAGATGTAAATGTGAAACAAATCAGTATATTACAAGGTTAACAAGACTATGGCCGATTCATGAATTAAAGAATGAAAAAGAAGCCAAATAAAAAAATAAAGAATAGGCTTCACGTATTACTTAATATGAGCCACATTCACCTGAATGTCCAGACAAGCATCTTATTTCAAGAAATCAAAAGTATCACACAAAGTAAAATATCTGCAAATATAGCAAACAAAGTTTTGTTTCTTGAATTATGATAAAGATACGGCATAATTTAAAGGAACTAAATTATAAACTAAACTACTAAATGGCCAGGTCACCCTTGTGAAAAGGGTCTTGATCTCAATGGGTTAATTAGGCTACCTGGTTAAATAAAAAAAAAGATTACAAAAAAAGTTTGCTTGCTGCACTGGGAGATCATTTTACCAGTTAAAAACATTTCAGGCCTTACTTTTCTCTTGTAATCTATTGAATATATATTGAAAACAAAGATGTTTGTCTGGAGGTGAATGTTTTTTAATAACGTAAAATTAGATAAATTTGACCAATGTACTTGCTAAGATTTGACTTTTTGCTGTATACTGTTAAGAACACATTTCCCAGAATAAAAAATCAAAACATAATCACAAAAAAAACAGAAAAGGCTCAAGGTAAGAGATTCTAGACTTAGCTTTTCTCATTACCTTAGGTTAACAACGTTTGTTTTCCAGTTATAACAACTTCATTTCTCAAGACTTTGAGAAAACAGCTGAATATAACTTGTTATCGTGAGAAAACAAGCTCTGTCATCTTGAGGTAACGAGGTAAGTCAAGATCTTGAGAAAACAACCAAAATGTAGGCCTTCTTGTTATCTCGGGAAAACAAACTAAAATAAAATGTATGGAAAAGTCCGCTTAGGGCTTCTGTAGTATTTTTAGCCAGTGTATTGAACTGTAAAAAAATCTACAACATGCTTTGAATATTCTGCTACTATTGGCTTAAAGTGATCAATTTGAGGGAGAACGATCAGGTTAAATCATGAAACATTGGAGAATTTTCAGCTACTATTGGGGGATAAAGACGGTAACCTGGAAACTCCAAACTGCTAACAGTCGGTTTTGGCGGTTGTTTATTTGATCAGCCATTAAGGAGAGAGCGAGTGAGCTCTGTGATTGGCTGGATAAGTCTTGTGCACCTGTTATCTGGCCCACTTCTGCTGTTACTATCAGTGTCGCCATTTTGCTGTTGTTCGTCTCAAAAAACCACAGGCTTTAGTGTTTCCTGTGTTAGTTTGTATCATGGTGTCCCTCTATGTTCTAGTCTGTATTATTGTTACATTCTTTAGTTCTCTGTGATTTGTGTTCCTTGATTCATGTTGTAGTTCTTGTCGTGTTTCTAGGTTTGTATTTGTTCCTGCCTCTGTGTGTTTCCCTCCTGTCTTGATTGCCCTGATTGTTCTCACCTGTGTCTTGTTAATCTCACCTGTGTTTGATTACCCCTGTCTATTGTTCCTTCCCTCAAGTTGTCAGTTCATTGTTGTTTCCCATGTCCTACGCCAGACCTCTGCTTACCAGTGTTTCAAGTATTTTTCCTGTGCATTTTGATTTCTAGTTTTTTGCTTTAGAGAGTAAGTTTGTGTTTGCCTTTGGCCTTTTTGTTTATTAAATATCTTTAGTTAATTCTGCACGTGGGTCCAGTTCCTTGTTTTTTTCCCTGAACGTGGCAGAATGAACGGACCAGAAAAATGGACCCAGCAGAAATTTTTGATAGAATGGATCCTTTTTAGGAAGATAAGGTATTTCCAAGATATTTTTCGTTTGGCCAGGAGCACTGCAATAATAGAGCAGTCTCCTAGGACTGGCACCCGCTTGGCCATTTTTTCCGGTAGCCGAGGCCAGAGAGACAGAAGTGGCCCCCATGGCTCCCGGCTCCATGTTCTGCCTTCGCTGTCCAGCGCCCCAGAGTCTTCACAGCCTCAGCCAAAGCAGCCGATGCCTCAGCCCAGGTCTCATCACAGGCCTCAACCCAGGTCTCATCACAGGCCTCAGCCCAGGTCTCATCACAGGCCTCAGTCCAGGTCTCATCACAGGCCTCAGCCCAGGTCTCATCCCAGGTCTCATCCCAGGCCTCAACCCAGGTCTCAACCCAGGTCTCAACCCAGGTCTCATCACAGGCCTCAGCCCAGGCCTCAGCCCAGGTCTCATCACAGGCCTCAGCCCAGGACTCAACTCAAGCCACAGCCTCCCTGTGTTCCAGCAGAGTGCTGTCTGTCTCCTGTGCCTGTGTCTACCTGTTCCGGCAGAGTGCCGTCTGCCTGCAGCCCCTGTTCCAGCAGAGCGCCGTCTGTCTGTACCTGCTATGCTACGTCAGCCTCCTGTGCCTGCGGAGAGACTCCTGCCCCCTGTTTCAGAGTGGTGCGTTCATCGTTGGTCCACTTCGCTGTCTCCGTGAGAGGACCTGCCCACTTCTGTGTCTCCGTGGGAGGCCCTGCCCACTTCTGTGACTTTGATTTGGTTGTAGGTTCATGTAGGGTCAATCCTTCAGGATCCATTTGAGATGGCTTTAAGGTCCTTTACAATAAGATAAAGGAGTCCAATCGATGGTGGACGCTACTGCCATCGATGGGACTCCAAAGCCCCCTGCAGTAACAGATGGGTGACGTCACTCAGGCTTTGTACATTAATATTTACAGTCTATGGTGGAAACTCGGAAAAATACAATCTTTAACATTTCCAGCATGTTCAAAACGAACTATAGTGACAGAAAATATTTTTCAGATAAAGCTATTTGACAGCGGAAAGTGTATTTTAAGCCCCTCACACCAAATATAAAGTAACTTTGAATTTCCCTTGGGATCAATTACGTACCTACCTGGGAAGGGAAACTGCTACTTTATCAATCACCATAAATAAGAATGATAAAAAAGTAAAACATAATAATGCATTTTTTTAATTGCTCCAAATTTCCCCAAACCAGTGCATCTTATAGATATCAGTCTTTACTGATCATCATATCAAAGCTATGAGGCTACAATACCTACCTATCTCTATCTATCAGCAGTGGTACGCCCCACCATTAGGCCTCTGACATATTTACATGACGTCAAGGCTTAACAGATGTCAATGTTTCCTCTACCATTATATTGGGGTGGCGGCCTGCACTCCGTGATATTCTGGTTTGCTTTTGTAGGTCAAACTGAGGCATCAGACTCTTCTATAGGTTAAAATCATTCAGATTGGACCTAAGGTAAAATAATGTTCAGATATTTGTAATGATTTTTTTAAGGCCAATGTCCATGTTGTCTTTTATAGTCTTTCACTACTAACTATAGAAGAAGGATATCCTTTAGACTTTTACATCAGTTTTCATGTTTCTCTGGAACATATTCCAATGCCCTAAACAAATCAGAAAATAAAATTGCAGAGAAGGTTTGCCTGTGCAGAGAGGGCGCAATCAGCTCCGCAGAACAAGGCGCACATGGTAGAAACTGCCAGTAAGCTGTCGTGCTTCAATAATAATAATGAAATTTTTTTTTTTTTTTGAGATTGAAGGTGGTTTCGTCTTAGGGAACCAATAGTAGAATTTACCCAATAGAGATAGTATAACACTTAAACTGGGAAAACATCCTTTGAATTAGATTTTGAAACACAGTATTTTTTTTCCATGAAAAGGTGTCAGCAAATACGTCCAATCAACAAAAATGTCTCTAATAAACGTTTAGAGTCATTGTTTCTAAAGTTTAGAACTTTTTTAATTGACGTTCACTTCTGTAAATCTGTCAAGTGCTGTTCAGTTGTTTTTCTGTTGCTGAAAACACTGAAGGTGCCTCAGAGAGACATCTGTCCCATCTGACCTAGACTCTTGATAACTAATTTAGTCACATTAAATATTCAACCCCTTATTAAGTCAGAAAATATTGACATGATTAACGGTTCCTGTGGGTATTTCGAATTAAACCTAATAGTTGGGGTATGATTAGAAACTTTGTGGAAAGTTTAACAAAAATCTGAAAGGAACTTGTTTGTTTTTTATATCCTATGCCTGGAACTAAGATGGTTAGGTCGAACTTCTTCCAGTCTGCATTTTACAAGGTTTTGTTGTTAATGGACACACCTACACATTCGCACACTGATGGTAGAGGCTGCTGTGTAAAGAGTCCATCAGATAAGGAATCCCATTCATACACATTCACACGCCGCCAACGAAGCAGCGGTAGCAACTATGGGTTAAGTGTCTTGCACAAGGACACGTGGGACATGTGGCGGCAGGAGCTGGGGATCGAACCCACCAACCTTCTGGTTGAGAGACGACCAACTCTACCAACTGAGCCACAGCTGGAAAATGTGTTCTCAGAATCTAAACCTGGGTTGTTTAAAAAAAACCCAATCTATTCTAATTCTAATATAAACTTGGGCCTTCATTTACTTCCACTACTAAAGGTACCAGATGAAGAAGGCCTGTCAAGGCATCAAGTTCTCTCTGTCCGATTTGATGTCAAGTTCACAGCAGTTGTGAGTTGTTTCTGGCCTGGGCTTTTCCATCACATTCTTGCCCTTTCCCACAACAAATGTGAAGTTGTGTGCAAGAATTGAAAGGTTTTTTGATTTGAACCGCTTTGCCTTTCTTGTTTTCCTCCTCTATAGACTCTAGACAACGGTAGACGACTGTTGTGTAATCGCGTATGACAAAAGGATATTTTATTGTTTTTCTATCCAAGCAGATAGTTGAAAAGCTTGAAGTAACAAGAAAACTGTTTAATTAGAAATGGTAATGTCTTACATTACTACGTTACAGACAACTGTTATCTAATAACAGTAACCCGTCGGTTTGTAACTTTGTAACTCCCAACACTGGTGACTGCTAGCATGATGTGTGGAAAAAATCATTAACA